TCTTCTTTCTCTGCAGCAGCACATAGTCTAAACTAGAACCAAAACAAAACCTGGAATCAACAACTGAGGTGCAAGCTAAGATTACCCTTTAGATCAGGGTGGGCAATTATTTTTTTCCAAAACGCTTAATTAAATTGTGCCTAATATTAATAGTATTTCTTTATAAAAAGCAGTAAATAGTGTTGTTTTGACAAGATGGACAGACTGGTCTGAGTATATGTTATGACTAAGCAACGAAATAGTGAGGTTGTTTTACAAAAAATGTCCTAAATAAAAGAAATGCAGCTTTAGTCCATGCATGAGGCAAAATTATCAAATATATTTATTTTGTAATTCCAAATGAGCTTAAACGGGCTGGTCAGAGTCAACCAAAGAGCCGTATGTGACCCCGGAACTGGACAATGCCCAGGTCTGATCTAGATATTATCAATATGAGATGGGTAAGTATAGAGAAGTTGCGCACATTTTTGTACAATATGCTAGGAGTCAGACTGGATAAAGAAGTGGACTAAGCTAGTGTGACGTCACCCACAGCATTCAGCTCCAGTCAAATGAAGCTCATGGGGCTAGCAATTATAAGAGCCAAGTTCCATACGAGGAATAGGAATTTATTCACGGACAAAATAGTGAAATAAAAACACCACGATCATGTAGAGTAGGGTAATACAAACAGTTTAAGACCAAAATGACGAGGCTCACCACAGCAGTTACAGAGAAAGGGGTGACAGTTGTTCAATGTAAAGTCAATTGTAGCCAGTCAGTGTCAATGAAGCCGGAAGCGCCTCCATGCTCACTTCTTATTTGGAACGCAGCGGCTATAATGGTTTAGCTGTGTCCATTACAGTCTATGATCCATGCACATCTATACAATTCCTACTCACTCGCACTCACTGGCAGAGGTGATTTCATAGCACAAAAGTTAAATCAATAAAAGACTATGGTATGTGATGAATGCTTTAACATAACCAACTGATCAGGTCAATGTAGTGACAATGAGTGTGACATGTATAAAGTGGAGGTCGGAGCGCACAGCCAAAACAAGCAACCACAATCAATAGTGTTTGTTCAAATGGCGTTATTTATAGCAACACAAGCAGCGCTACAGGACAGAGACAGGAGAGAGTGTCCTGAGGAGGAAGTTTGTGTGAACAAGTCTATCTGAGCCAACAGCTGACTAAGCTGATGGATACAAATTATTAATGTGGGCACTGAAGTTATACAAGTGCAAAGTTACATGTAGGGGTGTGTGATTATGCCAAAAAATTCAAGTCACACTTCTCTTAGGGCCACTAGGGATCATGTAACAATAACAGAAATATTGTGGTATCATGAAAAGTCTCACAATAATATCGTGGGCCATCAAAATATATCAAATTACAAGTCTGTTTGCTTTAATTCATTGTTATGGTGCAACAATAAAGGAACTACATAGACCATAATCCTTTGCTCCATAACTTATAAAAGCTTGTTTAATAAGACTAACTTAAAATATATGCACTAATTTCAGACTTCCGGTCATTGCACAATGCATACTGGGAAGGATTTTCCGAAAAAGTGAGCATCAAACCGCCATGTTTGATTTCCCAGTGGGATGAGTCTATTGACAAAGCCAGTCTTTTCAAGTCTTTTGAACCATATCACTTTTGTTTCTGGTTCTGATATTGTCATATTTTAGTTATGGGATTCTGACATCGTAATTGTGTGATTGTTGGATGTCCTAACAGCGGAAAACGGCTCAAGAAATGGGCTTCGGAAGTTTGCAAACTCCATAAATGCAAAAGGGAATCAGATCTGTGTGAATCTATGTGAAACCTCAGTTCAAACTGTTTCCCTTCCTTACGGAATTGGGAAAATAGTGAAAGGCAAAGGCGATGGGCAGTACTGATACACAGGAAGGATGAAAAAGGTAACATTGACTGCCCAAGAAATCATCCTGAGTTTGCAGTGAACATTTTGTGTGAACATTTTTGTATTGTATTTTCCCCCATTGTTCTTGAGACAAGCACATCTCTATTTACTTGAATTATGGTGGATTAGTAACTTGTCTTATTAGTGAGGTCGCCGACTAGATAACCATAGCTGAAAGTAGTTTTATTTTTTGTAGTACAATTACATTTTTGTTTACATCCATTACATATGATTATTATTATTATTTTTCTCATGATCTTTGTTTAAAAGTAAATTACTCTCATTTAATGTCATATTGAGAAAATCCAATTGTTCTGAGGCCTCAGCCATTCGTAGAACTGAAGCAATTGGTTGGGGGCCCCTCCAGGTTTGGGGGCCCTAGGCAGCTGCCTACACATGCCTAATGGTAGCACCGCCTCTGCTGTAGAGGACACCAGATGCTGTAATTTTCTGCTTGCAACATAAATTCATACAGACATGTTTGTTCTAAATCATGTTTTAAATTGATCCATTAAACCACAGGTGTCACAGTTTGGTATAGCCAGTCCTTTTCTTTTCCTTAGTGGTCTCCTGCAAAGCCACAGTCACAGTCTGTCTGCTCCTGTGCTTAACCTTGGAGCCTTATAGCTACTAATTTCATTCAGCATATATTTCAAAAAAGTTAAATTTCAGTCTATTTAATTTCTATTCTTCTGCTGACCTTGCACTTTGCGTTGCAACAGTGAAATACCCTTGTGGGGCACATAAAGGTTATCTTATATCTTATCTAACATTCTTGTGCCCACCACACTCCTCCTCACTTTGACTCTAACTGTGCAGGAGACCACAATTTACTGTTTTCATTTGGACCCACTTAATCGGACAATTCTCAGACCCCCCAGGACTGTGTCTCTGGCTGCCCCCTCCTCTTCCACTTTTATATAGAGCTAAATGTGAGCGGCCACGTGGAGCACCTGCACAATCACAGACTTAATTCAATCAGGACGAGGCTAGTGTCCAAATGGATGTGTCACTACAGCGGCTCTAAGTCTCTGAAGGGAAGTGGTGAGGCTTCTGACCAGTGCTGGAAGGTAACAAAGTAAAAGTAGTAAAGTACTCTACTTAAGTATATCTGTACTGTACTAACTGTAGTATATCTGTACTTTACTAAAGTAGATTTCAAAATATATGATACTTTTTACTTTTACTGTTTAAATTTCACTACATTTTTAAATGAACTGAAAAGTATTATTGTTTGAGGCATGCTGAAAAGACTGACGGGTTTATTTTTAACACGTTCAAAGTTTGAGCAAACAAAAGTATACTGACAGTAACAGCCATAGGAAAAAATATTGATTTAATTGTTTCTTTTGAACAAAATTCAGCACAAAACTTTATCAAAATAAGTACATTCGAAGTCTTAGAAGGCCTCGAAATCTGAAAGACATACTTTTTAAATAGATACATTTTTAAATAGATACTTTAACTCTAGTAGATTTTTTCATGTGATACTTTTACTTTTATTTTTGCTCAGGTATCTCTACATTTACTTGTGTAACACAAATGATTACTTCTTCCACCATTGTCCCTGACATGGCCAAGCTGAGAGGCACAGTTGGTGCCTATCAAAGCATTTTTCTGCTGTGCTGCTATGCTGTCGAAATACAAATAAAGAAACAAAGGATCAGAGGACTTTAGGAGCAGTTAACAGTTGTGCTTTGACTCACCTAAAGTTATTTTGTCAAAACTCAAATAGACGTCTCGAAACAGAATTCAGTCAGTGCACAAGAGGTTAAACTTAACTTTATTATTGTCTCATTGATTAGGCTGTACATAACGCACGTTTATAAAATAACTAATATACAAGAAGTGTCTAATTATTTTGCTAGTAAAAAATGAAACTGCGGATTTGGCTCCAGACTAAATACTACTACTACTTTTGACCACTACTTTCGGTGCAGCAGCAATATAATCTCTGCTATCACAGCAAACTGAATCATTCAAATGAGTTTAATTTAGCTGCATTATGTATTTGCAATAAATGTCAAAGCTTGTTTATATTCTTCTCATTCAAGTTAGTTAGATCCCAGTAGGCTACAGCTGCAGTGAAACAAAATACTTAAGTTGTAATTTGTTTTATATTATGGCATGTCTGACAATTTAAGTTCCTCTTGTTTTGAAAAAACATAAACATAGGTCTACAAATCATTAGAGTTTAAATGTATTAAACTGTATACATTAAGCAAATTGTCATGTATCATAAATCATTAGAACTTAAGTAGCTATAATTTTCAATAAAAAGTCCTTTACTTGAAGCAGCCTACATGAGTTGTTGTTATTTGTAAACCCCACTCTACTACACACGTCCAACTTACTGAAGTCACTCAAGTCACATTGCTACTACTTGTACTTTAGAGGATATAGGAGGATTACTAGAGGCATAATCACAACCGCTGCACTTAAACGTAAAATAAGGAGAAGCAGACCTAAGCGTCTCCAAACATGCACGCAACATCCTTCGTATACGACCCTTGAGTCTAATTCCCGTTGGGATAATATAGAAATGTATAACGGTTTCCCTGCTCCTGGGTCCACCTGCTGCTACTGTCTGCTCCCCATGCCTCGCCTCTCGTTAATCGCGCGGATTACCAGCGCAGCCCTCTACCGTCTGCTCCATTTCTATTTCAAAACACTCCCACCAAGCAACGCTGCGTAAAAGCGAACCAGACGCACGCTATTACTGTACAATTTGGAAAGCATTAACGTTTTGTACGCAGAAAGACGCGCGGGGTAAACACGGAGGAGGACGACTTCGCGACTTCAAGTGATCCCAAACCGCGGTGGTGCTTTAGTTTTTTATGGAAATTCAAGAGGATTTATCAACGTGATCCAAGCATACTGTATTAAGAAGATGGATCAAATGGCAATGGCACGCGTGTGTGCTTGCTTGAGCCGTAGTACAATTTAATTCCCTTCGCATCTGCTATTGTCAAAATGCAAATCGTATTGTAGTAGTGATTTACTTCCACGTGATTCAACAGCTTTGAAGTAGTAGTAGTGCACGTTCCCTTCTCCGTAAGAAAGTTGTGAGTAGTTGGAGACAGCAGACTTACCCCCCATGCAGAAAAGCACCATCCAGGCTATCCATAGATCCGAGTTGTGAAACTTCACCATGGTTCCTGGCGGCGCGTGTCCCGTGCGTGCGTCCTCACTTGGAGCCCACTCGCTTCGCTCTTTTCTGGAGTCAACCTTAGTTCACTTCAGCAAAAGTGACAGTCTTCTGCAGCGGTGAAGAGATATCAAACCAAACAGCAAATCAAAGCAAGTCATTCCAGCTATATTCCCAAAGGCAAAAAGATTAAAGCGCTTAAAATTATTAGAAACCGTAAAATTCATCCACCGAGTCTCGCTACTGTCTCCTCCTGCTCCTTCTTTGGTGGCTGCTCACTTGAAGTACAGTCACACTCTCGCTGTGATTTCTCCGCTCGTCTGGGCGCGCTGGGAGTCCACCTGTTGGGTTGGAGAGACCGTCCTTCTGTCGTTGCGAAAGGCGTCAGTGCGTGCCGCTTGTCCACAGTCCGCTTGGCGAGTGTCTCCCGTGCGTCTTGTTGCGCTCCATGCTTTCTCGTGTTCTGCTGCTGCAGCCGAGCGCCGTGCCGCGAGCGCAAAGCGCAACGTGCGACAGGCCGCGGGACTTCCGGGGTTTCTCATTTCACAATAAAAGAGACACGAGATTATTATCGCTTTAGGAACAGTTTGAATGTGGTGAAAAAAGCAGGATATTTATATTAAAGTCAAAATAGAAGGGTTAGAAGGACTGTGACTCAGACACCACCATGTAGCATGTTTCCAAAAATGTTTCATTTCACTTTCTTTTTTTTTCTTTTTTTTATTTAGTAGATGTAAGCTAAATAGGACGAGGCCGACATTTTCACTAAAGCGCATTTCCAGTTTGTGATTTTCTGTTCAAACTCTGTAGCTGGAGTCTATCTAGAAATAGGGAGAAAATATTCAAAAGAAGCAAGCTTTTTATTTTGGGTCCCTTCATGGCTCGACGGCAAATACACTGGAATGGACAAAACCATGATCGTTTGCATGGATGTGGATCATCTATTACCAACTGACATTTGAAGATTAGACCTATAGTAGCTGAATAATATGTAGGGATATATTTAATATGTACGCAATATTAAACAGGCCTGCCTACTTGACAAAAAGTTAAACATAAAGCAGTTTACTTTACTTTAGTTCATTTAGGTCTACTGTACACTGAAAAGAAACTGACAGTAGCAAAACAACATGACAAGGTAGGGTTGTCAAAAGTACTGAAAATCAATATTAAAACTATCGAAATTAAATACTTCTTTGGGCAGATATCAGAACAAGTGTAAGACCACAATATACACTGCAAAAAAGCTTGGCGAAAATGTAAGATATAAGCACTTCAATCTATCTGAAAATGACTTAAAAGTAGTGAAATTATCTGTCCATGCACCAAGATAATTTTTAAATCATAAAATAAACTACTTTTAGACAAGAATGAAGCCGTCTCAGAACTAGATAATAAATCTGAAAACAAGATGAATAACTGAATATATGTTTTAAAATCTTGGCCAGATCAGGGAAAATTGCAGTGTATAATAAACAAATACTATTATTTAGTACAAAAAAATTACAGTATTTCATTATCATTTGGATATCAACTCGAGTATGGGGTCTCTTTTTTTTTGTATCGAGGTTAAAGTTTTAGTATTTTGACAGCGTTATAACCAGGTGATATTACGTATTTTGATAAATAGCCTAAAAGTCGAGGTATTGTTTATAATAGGCTATTTCAAAAAGTGTTGAAGTGGCACAAGACATTTTATTTTCTTTCTAATCCATAGGACTTCCGCTTTTCCGCGCGTGTCTGTGCGTCTTGACGCTCTCTGGAGCTGTGATTGGAGCCCGGGCTGTTGCTGAGAGACCAATGACGCCATCCTCGAGCGAACAAGGGACAGAGACACGTGCGCCCCCTAGTGTTCAAACCAAGGGCTTAATCCACAGGGCTCAACACGAGACAACAAAAGAATTCATAATTTTATCTTGTCTTTCTTTTCCTCCCAAACAATAAGATTAGTCACATACAAGATCTATCAAATTCTCTGATTTCTTGCCATAAACACGTTTTTTCTGCTCAGATCCAGTGAAAAGCCTTGCCGCTATATTAGGCTCATAATAACACTGAGTCATTTGGATAATTTCTAATGTAAATGTCATGGGATCGTCATTGCAGCAGAAGGGGTGTCAGGTGCATTTCACAGGTCTGTAATACACCTACAACTCAGTTCACCCTCTCACACATTTCTGGAATCTTTCAAAATTATAATTCAAAAACCGGAGCTAATTTTCACATCTTTGCAGGTGGCTTTGTGCAGAGCTTTCCACCTGTGCAGTTACAGCGTTTTGAGGAAAACTGCATAAAAACAGGTGGCAGGTTCCCCTCTCCACCTGAAATGTTACACAAATGTTGCACTTTAAGAGTGATTTATGGTACATGGTCACATTTTTATATAGCGCTTTTCCACCCTCCAGGCACTTAAAGCACTTTACATCAAGGAACCACTCACCCATTCACACACACACTCATACACCAGTGTACGCAGACACTAGGGGTGAGGTGGGTTAAGCGTCTTGCCCAAGGACACAACGAGAGCATTCATCTGTGGAAGGAGGAATAGCACTGCCAACCTGTGGGTCAGTGGACCTGACCGCTCAACTAATGATGTTGACGTCGAGAATGGGATTGAAACCTCCATCCTTCAGATCAGTGGACAAGCCTTCTACCAACTGACATATTGTCGCTCAAGTCGTACGCAAGTATAGAGCTTTACTACTTTTACTTTGTCATGTTCCACCACTGGATATGTTTAATGCTTTACTGTGTAACATTCTGTATAGGCATAGCAATACCTCCATGGAGACAGCAGCAGAGGACACTCAGTCAGAAAAGTCCCATAGGTCACCTTTAAATTCTTACTCAGTGGTTTAGTCATGGCATTTTGAAAAGAGTTGCTATTCATGTATTATGAGACATTTTTTAGGACAAAGACAATAACGCATGAGCTCATCTATCAGCTGCCTAATCTTGTCAACACTCACAACCAGATAACACTACACCTGGGAGAAAGTCCTAATTCTACATTTAGTGGGATTAGTGAGGCATACTTTATGTAATGTGTCGCTCCCTCTGTACACGGTCTCAAGATTGCTTTTACTTTGATTTATTTGTTCTTCTCATCCAGATGCTGCACCAGAAGAAGTTACAAGTCTGATCTGTGGAAACTTTGAATAAGCATAAGAGGTAAGTGCTGCTTATAACACAGTTTGTATTGTAATAAAATATTGAAATACAAATTCAGGTATTGATAGTTGGGCCTTAAAATTTGGCCTTAAAAAGTACTCAGAATATTTGAAGTGCCCTCCTCAGACTTTACTGTGTGGTTCTCAGTCATTTATTTTAGTATTTAATAATCAAAATCTAACAGAAATACAGCATCTTTCTTTCCTTTTCTTTTTTTATATACTCGACACATGTCCTGAATGAGTGATCACAAAGAGGTTAAGCTGATTTGGGTCGGTGTACAGCGTTTCAGGTTTAATATCACACTTTTGACCATGATGGATCTGATGAATTGGATTTCTGTTGAGGCTCAGGAAAGATGTCCTCATGATTTATTATTGATTCGCCCTGAAACCGCTCCATTTTTCTTCCTCTGCACCTGCATCAAATATTCACCACACTCAAGGAGATCCTCAAGAAATAAAAGAATGGTGTATAAAAAAGTTGTAAAAACTTTTTTTTTAAACAATAAGAAATGTGATTAGAACTGACAGGTTATGTAGTTAAAAATATTAAAGGGCCCATATTACACTATTTTCTGATCTATGTTATAATGTTGTTTCCTCATCACAAACATACCAGGAGTTGTGTTTTATTCATTTCAGGTTAACAAACACACTCTGTATATTTAGGGTGAGTTCTTCTCTCAAACAGAAAACACTCTGTTCCACCTTGTGATGTCATGTGGCAGTACAGGAAGTGCATTACAGGACATTCTGAGCTTTGGAGATGTTACACCAGGTGTCTCAAACCTTTTTCCTTCAGTGAGCTGCCTTTACAAAAAGAAAATGCCAAAGAGCTACTAATTTTAGCAGTAGAGTGACCACATTTTCAAAATTCTAAACTGCGACACATCTGGGTTAGGATGGTTGGTATAAATAAAAGTGTGAAAAGAGTGACACTGCATTTTTTGCTTTATTGTCATTTTCTGTATTTTTTCTCCTCCTTACTGTTGGCAGGGATCTGATTAATCAAAAATTGTGATAGTTCTGTTTTTGTCCTGGTTAAAACCTGATATAGTCCTGCTTTAGATCAAATTCGTCAAAAATAGAGACACCTGGGATATTTCTTGTATAAAAGACAAATCAGTGGTTTTGTATAAAGCTGCTGAAACAGGGGACACAGGGCTCAAAACTGGATCTGTCCTGGGGAAACAGGGACATCTGGTCTCCATCTTTAGCGATCACAAGAAATTGATCATAGCAAAGCCTCAGATTTGCAACAGTTTGATATACTTATAAAACATAAACCTTTATCCATTTATTAGTGCACACAGTTAGGCATTAATTAGTTAGTGTAATTAGTTCATTTAGAAATCCTTTGGCGAGCTACTGGGAAGGGGGTGGAGAGCTACTGGTGGCTTCCGAGCTACAGGTTGGAGAATCCTGTGTTAGACTAATAAACCAAGATTACTCAAACCTGTGCACGTGAAACAAAAAACAACTCTAGGTGTATTTTTGATGAGGTAACAGCATTATCATATGGCTTAAAGCTTGCAAGTCAATGTTGAGTAATACAGGACCTTTAAGAGAAGGACAATTTATAAACTAATAAATAAAAAAATTTACCTTTTGATATGTGCTAGTGCAATATAGTATTAGTTCAACTAAATATTTTTCGAATAAGGTAACACACATAAGCATTCCACTTTCTATCTTGCTATTATAATATCATCTAACTGTAAGCTAAAAGTACATTTTGAAATTGGACCACAGAATATCCTGGAAAGCCTTTTTACGGTGTTGTTTCAATGTGATATGCTGCCATCTTGTGGTAATAACACATGCACACACTAGACAGAGGAGTTGTAAAGTCCGTTTTGCAGTTGTCATAATATTTATTTATCTCAGTCTACACAGCACTGATACAAATCTAGTGTTTCCATGACTACAATGAAGAGACAATGGAAACAACGGCACAAAACGTACGAGATAAAGCATAAAACCTTTTGACGTAGAGATAATTACAGTCGATTAGGTGAGCCGATGGATCAACAGGGAACCTTCAGTCCTGGAAACAGAAGAAAAAATGTGTTAATATAGGAACAGTGATAGTGATTATGACATGAGTATGATATGAGTACTATTTCAGAAGTTATAAAGTTTATGGTTAACCATAGTCAAGAATGGCAACGTTACACAACAGTCATAATTTTGCATTTTGGATGGACCTTTCGACGTTAATGACATAGGTAGAGATTTTCTCACGACTACTTCTGTATTTTTGTACTTTTCTTTTTAACATTTTCCCACAAACTGCTGCTTAAGTGCTACAAAACTATGATAACACTATTCTGCCAAACCAGGCAATAATTTATAGGGACTGAAGTAAACAGAAGTGGTGTAATGTAGTCATGAAGTTAGGTCAGGCCATGACAGGTTTAAAATATGTTCCAATGTGAGGTGGAGTCCAGTGAACAGCACTTTTGCAACTCTGCTAATCTTGAATTGAAGGCGTATATGATGTCTTCCATATGGTCCATTGTACTCAGTCTGTTTTGTTTATGAAATTTGCATAGACGACCATTACTACAACAGTGCTGATACAAGCACGTAATAGTTCTCAGTGGTACTCATAGCACATAACCAGGTCAAAATTACAGTAAAATAGAAATTATAAAAGGAAAAGAAATTGCCATAGCACTTTAGGATATGTTCACACTTTCTAGTTTAGTCCTGATGTAGACTAGGTTGGGTTTTGTTCTAGTCCTGGTCCAGTCCAGCAGGTTTAGTCCCAGTTTTGATGTGGTGTGTTCAAGGGTGAAGTACTTCCAATACCAATAAACTGAGATTACGGTTACTATGACAGCTAATACAACAACGTCCTACTACAGTTTCTAACTTCAACTACTTTTATTACTACACCAAATCTGAGACCTACTATTATTAAAAATGCTACAGCTACTTAGTATATAGGCTTACCAACTAGAAAAACTTCCTTTGCAGCTAAAATAAAGTAAATTTACATATAAAATGCATTTCCTATTATGTAAAAATGTGTTATAACTGCTACTACATCACCTCCCACAATGTTTTCAGCTTGTTTTGTAACTAAATCAGTGAAATGACAGTAAATACTTAACATATTTGTGATGACAAGTAAAGTATTTAAGTAGTTGTGTGACAGGTATGTCCAAACTGTCCCAGGAGGCAAATGCTAATTGGACCGTGTTTCCTTAAACATTTTTTAAAGCAAAGTTTTTGAAAATCTGCCTTGAGAAAGCTAATGTCAAATATGCAACACTGAACAAAACAAAATTTTGACTTTTGAGGATCTGAACATGGATAAAGGTCTAGTGACTGATTCTAACCTGTTATAAATGCACATATTTGTATCAGTCACTGTATTGTCTATGGCGCTGTGCTTCTTCTGTGTTTAGATATGGGGCAGTTGCAGAGAAAAGTTTGGACGTTCCTGGTATAGATAAACAAATGCACCATACATCTGCTATTTTGATATAAAGCTGAAATCATGATAAACCAAAGCAGTTCTATTAATGGAAAGCGAGTTCAGTGAAGAGGGCAAGGCGTGTCCGACACAAACTAGACTAACACGTATTTCTTGTTTTAGAAGAACCATAGTCCTTTGATTACATGATGATGATGAGTTGTCGTGGTAGAAACCAGGTGTGACAGCTATGCCACCAGTCTAACTACATTTACTTATATGTGGACTTATACCTAAAACTACAACTACAGCATGGGAAAAGGGACAAAACAATGAGTAGGCCAACCTGTTTTGCATACATAGAAACCAACTGACATGAAGCTACTGCAAGAGGTAACAGATAATATTTTAAATAAGGTTAACTACTTTCTTAATAAATATATTGAACTGTATTATTGATTTTGACACATTCCTTCTGTTGAACTTAAGTTGCAGCAGTGCGGACACCCCCTTTATTATAAAATCTATATAATAAACAATATAACTAGCATTTTAATTAACTTTACTGACGGAGCAAAACTGTTTTCTCTTGCAATTTGACGCACAAAACACAAATTCTATATCTTAAAAGTACCAGATAAAGTAGAAATAAAGTAGCTTAAAAGTTATGACAACTTCATCTGCAACTACTAGTACAGTTAGACATTTGATACAGCAGGGAAGTTAGGCATTCTAGATATATTGTGTCTCATGTACCTCATCACTGGAGGAAGATGAAGATGAAGAGGAAGAGCCTCCCCCTCTCCTTTCCTTTCCCTCTTTCTTGTCTTTCTTCTTCTTGCCTCCGTCTTTGTGTTTGTCCGATTTGTCCTTATCTGACTTGTCCGACTTGTGGGACTTATCCTTGTCTTTGCCTTTGCTGCCACCATCCTAAAACATAAATTCATACCATTTAATCTTTACATTATTTCAATTATTATGCTACTCTAAAGTACAAGCACATTCAAAGGCTCACACTAAAATGGTTCATTCAAATTATATCATGTATGGTTCAGAGACAACACCAAAACAGAATAAACCTTAATAGATTTTATAGGCTTAATATTGCTTTACCTTGTCCTTCTTTTTGCTCCATGGAAAACTAAACTCATCCTTGTGTCCGTCCGACTTCTTCACCACCTCCTCCTTAACTTCCAAAGCTGCTCAAAACAAAAACAGTTCACATTTTAAGAGCATTTGATCATTTTCAATAACATCAAATAACAAAACACACAAAACTACATATATTCGGGGTATTTCAGCAATTTAGAAACGGGAATCACTAAGGCATTTGTTTACAAAGCACCATAAACTGATCTTACCTTCTGACAGATCCATGTTCACTGCGAGTTTAATCACACTGATGAAACACACACGACGCAGGAGGAATCTGAAGAGGAAACCTGTCCAAACCACACCTATGTCACGTGATCAGCCAATCCACACCCCAATCACGCCCAATAAGGAAGTGGCTACAAATATTTTAACACTTGATGAGCTGGATTGCTGTGTTGACTATAAACAGACTGTATGTACTTCAGTCACAACAGAATCTGGAGAGAGGACACATGCGCACTCAGAGCCTCCAGAGGCTGCACTAGCACTGATTCATGACTGGCTGAAGGAGCTGGGGTTTAGGCAGTGACCATTCAGATCAGAGAGAGTCCTTTTAAGTTTAAACCAGTTGGATTTCAGCATTGAAACTTTCAGCCCAAATGTCAGAGGTTTCTTGTTGGATAAAGAGCAAAAGCACCAGATTTTAAATAAATAGGACATCAATCAATCAATCAAACTTGAGTGCTTTTTATACAAAAATGCAACACAAAGCGCTTTACAGAGATTAAAAACAATCTCACATTTCCAGGCCTTGGGTCTTGAGACTGAGATTACTATCTGTGACCTAACTATTTTTTACTTCTGCTCATTCTACTAACTATGTGGAATCTGATATAGCTATCTTCTTTACAGCTAACTGTCTGAAATATGGAAATGTATACTAACTATCTGGAATCTGGGACACTAACTATCTGGAACCAGTACATACTGAGAAAAAAGAAACAATCTGCAACAGCAGCACATACAGCAAAAACACATAATTGTCATCAGCAATAGCTATATTTGTTTTGAACACATTTACGTCATTTCTGGGGATAGGTAAAGTTTAAGTGTTTTTTTTTTTTTTTATTGAAATCTTACATACAGTTCCTTAATTTTGTACCTTTCACTTTATAAGCTTTAAAAGTCAATCTTGTTTCAATGATAAATACTCAATATTTTATATTCTAAATGCCTGTTGATATTTTTATGTCTTTAAATTATAAATGGTATAAGTTTTATTATACCATATGGATATTGTAATATTGAAGTATTATTGTAGTAGGATATAGTGTACTGATGAGGGGTGTAATGATATCCAAGTCTCATGATATCATATCATCACGGTATGATACTTATTGTGATATGGTGGGGAAGCTCACGTTTAGGGATGTAACAATATCTAAATTTCTCGGTACGATATTTTCACGATATACATCTCACAGTACAATATTTACTGTGATATTTTGTGGAGGCTAATAAAACTGTTAATATACAACTTTTTCCTCTTAAAATGCCTTGACAAGACTTAACCCAAAGAACTAAGACTTAAAAGTGCTTAGAACTGTTATTTCTTCTTGAAGTCTACACTGAAATGGAGCAAAGGATCATGGTCTATGTAGTTCCGTCTTGTCTACTTTTAGCTATTGCTGCACCATAACTCTTCATTTAAGCAAACAGACTTGTAATTCGATATATTGTGATGGTCCACAATATTATTGTGAGAACTTCGACGATACAATATCAAAATATTTCGGTTATGGTTTACATCCCTAATACTGATGTAATAATTCATCTGTCACAAGACTTCAGAATTGGATGAGAGGCTAAAATGAGAAACCCTTTATAAAGATCCTTTATCTAAAAAAAAAATCTTTTTTAAAATAATGATTATGCAACAAAACCCAAATCACATGCCACAGACAGCAGTTCATCTTTTGTCATTCTTTATTGCCTTTCTGACAAAACAATCATCCACACATTGTAGTATTTATCTCCTGATTTCTGCATTTCTTGAATAGATTGTAGGCCTAATGAGCATGTACTCTGTATGTAAATCACATCATGTTTAATTCTCCACAAAACAAAACTCAGGCCTCGATTGCCATCTCTTTCTCTCTCAATTTCTTTGCATAATTCATTCCACGTATTCTCTAACTTTTAATCTCTTGATATTATCATCTCCTCTATGTTTTTAGTAACAAAAAAAAACAAAATCATTGCTTTATCCATTTGACTTGGCCTGACCTATGTTTGATTTTCAAAAGGTGCTTAGAATAAAACTGCAGCTGTAATTGGGATTAGGTTAAAACAAAATGAGAATTTTCTGATAGTTGTTACAATATCCACTGTTGCCCATTAAGTGTCATGTTCCTCTTTAATAACTTAGCAGTAAAAGTATGCGCTCTTTCTCTTATGCATTTGCCAAATCCTAGCGTAATGTCTGGGTCTCTTCTTCAGATGTTTAAATAGGATTCCAGTCACGTCCTACCGGTTTTGGGCTGACAATATAGTTACAAAGGAACAAAGATGTTTTTTATATACTTTATGAGCAACAGTTGATATATTTGATAAAACATATTCTCCCAGTCATTTTGGTGTCTTACCCCAATCACACACAGGTTAAACTTTGTCAATTTAATCTAAACAGGTAAAAGTTTTTCTGTTTTTTTGTTTTACTAATTAACCTCTAGAAAAATAAACTACTGTCTTCTCAGTAGGATGACCATGTTCCAGTTACGCAGTTGTTTTCTATGTTAAAAATCTAATCTCTTGATTGTAATAAAGTAACCAAATAAAATTATACTAAATAATTTACCTTCTATCTTAAAATATATATCTTTGCAACTTTTTAGACAGCTACAGGTGTTTCCCATGTTAAAAATCTAACCTCTTGAGAGTAATCTAAACTAATATTTTCTGATATAGCTGCTGCTGGACAGATGTGTGGTGGTGGATGTGGATCGTCGGGGGCTGCCCATCAGTGACTCCATGGGGCTCGGGGGGCGTCGTATTGGGCTGGTGTAGGGCAGAGTGGAGGTGACCGTGGTGGTGGTGGTGGGCTTGGACTCAGAAGAAGCAGAAAGAGAAGAAGAGGATGAAGAGGAGGGCGTGGAGAGGCTGGGGGGGTCCATTGTGACCACAGGTTTGGAGGGCAGAGGAGTGAAAGAGGTGCTGGAGGTGGTGGTAGAGGCCCCAGGTTTGGAACTGCTCAGAGCGGAGAGTTCTGGGGAGGAGGAGTCCAGTTTAGGTTCCTCCTGTTTTTCACCCAATGAGCTCAGCTGGAATCACAAGAAATATTTACATTATTTATATTACTAAATCCAATCACTATCAATCTAATACATCAAAATAATAACTTTTTACTAAAGTAAAAAGTTATTTTGTCAACTTTACTATAAGATGTCTGGGGCCTTACTATGGATTTTACATTTTAATATCAGCAAATATCGGTTATGGCCATTCCAGCTAGACAAATATAAGACATTAGCTAGAAAGGCATTTCAGTGCATTTTATTTAACTTTACTAACAATGAATTTTGACAAACTTACACTCTTCTTCTCAGAGTCACTACCGGAGCAAGAGCTCTGTGGAGGAGACACAGAGGATTCTTTAAACCTTCGAACATAAATGTGATATTTTGAAACATTCGACAATCAACCAACCTTGTCTTTTTTCTTGTCTTTCTTATTTTCTTTGTCACTGTCACTAGAGCCAGAAGAACCTGAATCCTGATTTGAAAGAAGTGAAGTCAATGTTAATCTATAATTTGACAGGGATAATAATAAAAATAAATTGTGAATATCTGTTACCTTCTTTTTGTCTTTCTTCTTCTTCTTGTCTTTGTCACTACCAGAAGAGTCTGAATCCTAGAAAGACATATTTATTAACATTAATTGTCTTCTTGTCCTTTGTATTTTTTTTTGTAAATCACACTATAATTTATAACTGTTATTATGCACTACAGTCTATAATAATTAACCTTTTTCTTGTCCTTCTTTTTCTTCTTCTTCTTGTCCTTTTTCTTCTTCTTCTTTTTCTTTTTGTCATCATCACTAGAGTCACTTGAAGATGAAGAAGAATCCTGGAAAGAAATACACAAAACATGATATAAATGTTATAAAACAAACTCTACAAACCCTAGTGTCTCAAGCGAGTATCATCAAATTTCTTCTGGATGAATGAAAGATTACACTGTCACATCTTTATACCTTTTTCTTATCTTTTCTTTTTCTTCTTCTTCTTGTCCTTTTTCTTCTTCTTTTTCTTCTTCTTATCATCATCACTGGAGTCACTGGATGAGGATGAAGATGATGAAGAATCCTAAATAGTAATAGCTGATTTAGTTTAAGTTGAAGACATATGCCCAGTAGAGGTGGGTAGAGCATTATACACACATAAGAGTAATTTTACTTCAAAATAATAATACTAATCAAGTAGAAGTACAGAATAGTGGTCCAAGAAATTATAATAAAGGGTAAGGATAGGAAAAGTACTCCTGATAAGTACAAGAGTTAATCAAGTAAAAGTAAGTGAGTACTACCCACCCACATTTGTACAAGTAATACAAAATGAAATATAAACTCATGGAAACCAAATCCTTGATACCTTTTTCTTGTCCTTCTTTTTTCTTTTTCTTCTTATCCTTTTTCTTCTTCTTTTTCTTCTTCTTCTCATCATCGCTAGAGTCACTGGACGAGGATGAAGATGAAGATGATGAAGATTCAGAAGAAGAATCCTGGACAAAACAAAGCGAAAAATGTAACTAAACAAAGCAGGTCACATGATTTCGGTATGGTATGGATTTTCAAACTGTATTTATGTAAATCTATCTTATTACTAGCTCTCACAAACTCTTAGGCACATTGTTAATAGTGAATAACATTTTTTGGGACACACACACAGCTTCGTAACGTTTTTTCAGACAGAAAAGTAAAACAGAGATGGCCCACCAACCCTCAACCAACGCACTGTAATCCCAAAGTCTCCTATAGCAACGTAAACAACTCTAACAAATTACAGTGATAAAATTTGAATTAGTTTTGCATCAGATCTTGTTAGTTCTTTTTTGATGGTGACTGCTACTACTGGGTTGATATTTTATTCTCTTGGTGTTGTAAATGTGAGTGTGTCTATCTATTCTCTCTTGTCTTTTGTTGTTGTGTTTTTGTGCCCTTCGCCTGTCCAACAGTTTCTCCACAAATGAGGCAATACAAGATAATCTAATTTCATGTAAAATATTTAAGATACAGATACAGACAGTACTCAGTGGTCTAGTTCAGTCACAAAGTAGTGCGCTTTTACAAAACACTATATGGATGAAAAATAAATACTCAACTACAAGTCAAAAAAGAAGTACCACTACTGCGATACTAAAATTTCAAACTTGATGTCGATACTATTTCATAAACTCTATACTCAGTACCGATTCTGATATCACAATGATAATAAACCCTTGCATGTAAACAATGTAGACAATAGAATGTGATTTTCAACATTAAATCATAGTACTTTCTTATATTTTACCATGTGTAATCCCTCAGTGGTCCAGGTAGGTTCCATATGGTCCATGGGTGTATACTAGTCTATGTGCGCTATACTTGTTCTGATACAGCTCAAGATCACTCTAAAGACATTCAGGAAAGTTTGATTTCTCTCCTGTGAATGTAAATTTTATAGTAATGATACCTGCTCAAATGAGTATCTAATTTTATTAGTATACGTTAAAAAAAAAAAAAAAAAAAAAAAAAATACTGCAAACACACCTTTTTCTTATCTTTCTTTTTCTTTTTCTTCTTGTCCTTCTTCTTCTTTTTCTTCTTCTTCTCATCATCACTTGAATCACTTGAAGAAGATGAAGAAGATGAAGAATCCTAGAGGAAAACAGCAGGGCATTAGTCAGTATATCAGTTAAAATATCAAGTATTTTTATACAATATTTAACAATACATTTTAGATCATATATACAACTGTACGTATAAACAGTTGCCCGCTTTACTTTTAATACAACATGAAACATACTATTGACAAGATTATGTGAAAGATCTTACCTTTTTCTTGTCCTTCTTTTTCTTCTTCTTCTTTTTCTTCTTCTCGTCATCACTAGAGTCACTTGAAGAGGATGAAGATGATGAAGAATCCTGGAGGAAAAAAGCAGGGTATTAACAGTATATCAGTTAAAATATAAAGAATATTTTATATAATATTCAACAATACATTATAGATCATATATACAATTGTATGTATAAACAGTTGCCTGCTTTACTTTTAATACAACATGAAACATATTCACTATTGACAAGATTATGTGAAAGATTTTACCTTTTTCTTGTCCTTCTTTTTCTTCTTCTTCTTGTCTTTCTTCTTCTTTTTTTTCTTCTTTTCATCATCACTAGAGTCACTGGATGAATCAGAAGAAGACGATGAATCCTGCACACAAAAAGGACTTGGTTTAACTGAATTGTTAAAGAAATTTAAATGTTTAAAATCATATGGCATTATATATTTTTTTATGCATGTTACTGCTGGAATTGTTTAAACTTGTACACAGTTTTACCTGTGAGCAAATAACAATTGTTACTTCTTTTGACTCCCTTTCGAGCAAGCAGTGTCTTTCTTTTGAAACATCTAGACATTTCTTGGTATTCTACATATGCTTGAGATAAAAATAATCAATCATCAATTTAAAAATATCTATCAATTCTTTAAACACGGGGTATACAAGATTAATCAGTCATCTGAATAAATGTTATTGTGAGCTTAACTGAATAAAACTGTATGCTTATATTGTGGAGTATATTACATGAATGAACTCTGAAATTTTCACATAAAAATAGGCGACTACCCCTCCTAAAATCTACAAGCCTATAAAATAAATTAATCAGTTAAATACAATCAATCAATGAACCTGCCCATGGAGTACAGGTGGAAATGAGCACTGGTGCTACAACCTTTTACAATGCATCTCTCCTGTTAAAGTTAATGTAAAAATTGTGCGCTGTCCCTGTCTCATCAAATAAATAAATAAAATAATTACTTCAGTAATTATTGAACAGCAGATTTAAATAAAATATATTACACAGTGAATTGAAGAAAAACATAAATGGTTAATTGACAAGTGTCTGTAGATACAAAGAAGAGAAGGTTTCAGTCGTAATAATCTGGACACTGTTTTTGCAATCAACATATTTCAACTCCCATCACCATCATGTAATCAATGACAGAATTAGTGAAGAAAGCACTTTAAACTTACTGTATTGTTTTAAAAAAATATATATATATATTTAACCTTTTTCTTGTCCTTCTTTTTCTTCTTCTTCTTGTCCTTTTTCTTCTTCTTTTTCTTCTTCTTGTCATCATCACTAGAGTCACTGGAGGAGTCAGAAGAAGAATCCTGTACAGACAGAAATTGGTCAACATTTTGTTACATTTATGCTAAAATGTGACATCTCCAGGACTTGTACATAAAATTGATATTTTACAAAAATCTCACCTTCTTTTTCTTGTCTTTCTTCTTCTTCTTTTTCTTATCTTTCTTTTTCTTCTTCTTTTTCTTCTTTTGAAATAAAAAAATACATTTCAATTAAAGTTTTTGAACAAATCATACATCTATAGTTTTTGTAGAATCTTACTTTATCGTCATCACTGTCACTGTCAGAAGAGGAGGAAGAGGAGGAAGAGGAGGAAGAGGAGCTGCTAGAGTCCTGGAAAAAAAAAAAGACAAACAACAAAATTAACAAAATTCAATATGAAAGTAAGCAATATTTCCCATATATTTATCCCTATATTTCTGAGACAAGGAGCTCACACCAGGATAAGTTACAGGTCAGATCTGTGGAGAAGTGAGCCCGCCCAAAATAAGAAAGCAGATTTTTACAAGCAATAAAACATTTGCAATAGAATAAATGCAAAATATTGTCTGTGTAACATTCCAGGCAAAGCAGTAACATCTCCATGGAGACAAGCAGGCAGCAAACGATTCCCCAGAAAAGTAACAGAGTGCACCTTTAACTACACTAATCTGTACCGGCGTCATTTGTAAACAAAGTCTGTCTTGCAACGTTGAGTTTTATTGACAGAACAAATAATGAAATGTTGTGTCAATGTAGCACCTCCCCTTATTCGCAGAAGTAGAAAGTGAATACTACTTATTTAGTAATTTCAAGAGTCAATGGCAGCTATTAGCAACTGTAAAATCCAGCCTGGTTTAACTGCTTTAATTCTTTAGGAAGAAAACAGAAGAGTTGGCCTTCACGTAGCTCTACTGGCAATGTTTTAATCTGTTTAGCTGTGCATGTAACAGTAAGCACTTCTCTGTTTATTTTATTTGTTTGTATTGTGATTTTAATGTCTTTCTTAATCTGTAAAGGACTTTGAAACACTGTGCTAATAAACTTGCTTTGTCTTGCCTGTCTATAGTTTTGTGCTTTAGGGCATTGACTCCTGATTAGGGGTGTAACGATATCGTCACAGTATGATATTTATTGTGATATCGTGGGAAAAGCTCACAATATGGTGGGGAGGCTCACGATTAGGGATGTAATGATATCGGAATCTCTTGGTACGATATTTTCACGCTATACATCTCACAGTAAGATATTTATTGTGATATTTTGTGGAGGCTAACAAAACTTCTCTTAATCTTAAAATGCCTTAACAAGACTTAATCCAAAGAACTAAGACTTAAAAGTGCTTAGAACTGTTATTTCTTCTTGTAACCTACACTGAAATGGAGCAAAGGATCATGGTCTATGTAGTTCCCTCTGTCTTTTTTTTAGCTATTGCTGCACAAGAAATATTTATTTAAACAAAGAGACTTGTAATTCGATATATTGTGATGGTCCACTATATTATTGTGAGAACTTTGCCGATACAATATCACAATATTTTGGTTATTGTTACATCCCTACTCTTGGTTAATAATTGTTCAGTATTTTACCTTCTTCTTCTTTTTCTTCTTCTTCTTTTTTTTCTTCTTCTTTTTCTTGTCATCCTCATCCTCACTGTCCGAATCAGAGCCAGACTCCTAAGGAAACAACACAATGTAATTATAGTTTATGTATCTGTTAAACCGGAGTAAAAAAAACGCATTGTAATAAAAAGATCTGCTGTCACATCATCTAAAACAATCCATGTATCATTCATTCAATCATTTTTCAAAATAAAACCAAAAATGAGAAAAAGAAAAAAAAAACTATTTCCTTCATTATTTGTTTCCAAAACCAAAAAAAAAAAAAACAGATAACGATTTGTTTTTTCAGTTTTCGATTTAGTGTTTAAATGAATAATGGAAAAAAAACTAAACATGCATGCTCCACAGATCAGACCTGCACCTTGGCCTAGTAGCATCAACTGTTTAACTTCTGGGAGACAAGTTTAATGCTATATTGTGGAACATTTTGGGCAAAGCAATAACATCACCAGGTAGAGAAGCCAGTGGCAGATCCTCAATTAGAAAAGTTGCATAGCGCACCGTTAATTTAAATAAACTGAGAAACAATGGGTAATAATGATAACTGTGCTGTAAACTTTTGTTCTGATTTACCTTCTTCTTCTTCTTCTTTAACTTCTTCTTTTTGTCCTTGTCGGGTTTTCCTCCCTCTCCCTCGTCATCCGTGAGGTTACCCTCATCGATACCGGTCGTGAAAGGGATGGCCCGATCTGTACAACATCACAAATCATAACAAGAAAAAACTGAAGTACTGAACAATTTGGGAAGAAAATTTAACAAAAACTTTTCTGACAAAGATTGCATTTAGATTTACAATTTATGCTTAAATAATAGGATTTTGTTCAAAGTTTACATTTTAAATATGCTCAGAAGAATTGACAGAAACCAATACAAGAACCACATTTCAGAGCATGCTTTAACAGATCTAAATTACAGGGTTAGAAGATTTTATGCAGAATATAAGAGGATATTTTGTTTTTTGTAGAGGACATTATAGTACTTAATGACTAACAGTTTTTGTGATTTGCTAATTGTGTACATTTAATTGCTATTTTATTTGATTAAAGTTAATATTGAAGCCCTAAACTGAACCATTTTCATAACATCGACCTAGTTTACATACCAGAGACACCCTCTTGAATTTCATCTCTTGCACTGAGCGCTTTAGTGTCCTATGGGGAGACAACATATTAATCTTTTCTAGAGACATTTATATGTTTTATGTATTAGATAAGTGAAATGTGTATATTACCATCTCAGCAACTTCATACATGTGCTCAGTGCTTGGTCCTGGAATCTCACCATCAGCATCTGTTTAGTCAGAAAATATAAATGTGATGTCTGATGTGATGTGATATATGTAATGTCCTTAATAAACATAAATACTGAAAACATATATAACAAAGAGACATGAATATAAACAAACTCACTCTCTGCACCCAGCTCCTTCTTCTCTTCATCCTGAAATTAAAAGAAGTTAATAAAATTGTGCAAAAACTAACATTTGCAAAACATTTACATATCTAGCCCTTTGAGCCACAATGTAATGAAGTTATCACAGTTAATATTACGTTTTAGGAAATTATAATTAGGGCTAAAACTAACAATTATTTAATGATTGACCAGCCAACTATGCTGACTGAAAACATTTTTTTTGTTTTTGTTTTTTTTGCTACTGTCTGTTGTAAAACACCTTTTGACATGACGAGAGTTTATATCGCCCAGGTAACAATAAATTAAATAGTCAGTTTTTAATTATTAGTGGGTTAGTTTAAATTATTGTGATTAATTTTTGCAGTTGTAATTTCAATAGCACAATTGTCATATAAGAAACTTTCCTATCATTAAACAATGTCTGGGTAGTGCATTACATTTGTTTGATACATCTACAAACAAACAACATTTTACCTTTTTCTTGTCTTTCTTTTTCTTCTTCTTCTTGTCCTTCTTCTTCTTTTTCTTCTTGTCCTTTTCACTGTCAGATGAAGATGAAGAAGATGACGAGCTAGAAGAGCTAGAGTCCTGGATTAAGAAACAAAACGAAAAATTATTATTTCAAGTTGAACAGTTGTAAAATTTTGTATTGCGTAACCAGGAGACAATATGCACCTTTTTCTTGTCCTTCTTTTTCTTTTTCTTCTTCTTCTTGTCCTTCTTCTTCTTCTTTTTCTTGTCATCATCACTGTCAGAGGAGGAGCTGGATGAGGAAGAGCTGGAGGAGGAAGAGGAGCTAGAATCCTGTCGAAAATAAAGTCAATTTAATAAATACATACATGTTCACTCAACTCTTTGCATGATTTGTGTATTGTGCATTATCTATTACAGGGTGGAAAATTACCTATATTTTTTCCATGGGGCCACATGAGAAACAGAAAATATTGTGGAAGGTTGGGCCAAAATGCTTAACTCAATTCTGCATAATATTAAATTTATTTATTTATAAAAAGTAGTAAATAGCATTGTTTTGAGGAGCTGGTAAGACTAGTAAGAGTTTAGGTTATGACTAAGCAATGAAAGAGTGAGGTTGCCTTACAAAAAATGTCATTTAACAGCAATGTAGCTGTAGTCGATGCTAAAAATTATAAAATACTTTTATTTTGTAATTCCAAATGAGCTTAAACGGGCCGGTCAGAGTTAACCAAATGGCCCAGGAGCTGTACAATGCCCAGGTCTGATCTATTACCATTTTACTACTTTGGTTCAACCTACAATATAAGTGCTATGTGTATATAATTTCATTCAACAACAAATGTCAAATAACTATGCAATGAACAGTTAGGTTATAGCATCTCATCTTTTAATACTGTAATACACATACATGTCAGAATTTTTCAAGTCCTGGGTTCTGTCCAATATGGCAGACTTACTGTACTGTAATTTTGTCAGTAAGGTTTGGTTGATTTAAGCAATTAACAATCTATGCAACTTTGTGGTGACGTATTTGCACCCCTGCTCCGTCTCAAAGGAGACATTACTGTGGACAGGTGATGCCACAAGGCAAAGTCAAAGGTCAAAGGTACGCAGGCGTGAACCCGCTCAGTAGGAATTTAAGGGTAACTTTTTAAAACAATAAAACAGTTGTAATATAATAAATGAAAGATAAAGAAAAAAGCCACATTGTTTAACACCCTCCAACAGAAAAGATACTGAGAGAAAAAAAAGTTAATGATAAAATAACAGATCCTTGCAATATGAACTTAAAAATATACCTTCTTCTTTTTTTTCTTTTTCTTCTTCTTTTTCTTCTTCTTCTTGTCGTCCTCACTGTCGGATGAACTGTCAGATGACGACGAAGAGGAAGATGAGGAAGAGCTAGAAGAATCCTGGAAGAGATAACAACCTTAATGCGTATAAAATCGAATTTAAATGTTAATTCTAATACTAGCACAAATATGTACCTTCTTCTTTTTCTTCTTTTTGTCCTTTTTCTTCTTGTCTTTCTTCTTCTTCTTGTCCTTCTTCTTCTTGTCCTTCTTTTTCTTCTTATCCTTTTTCTCTCCAGGTTCCTAAAGAGTTTATAGTTTAATCACAGTTAAGACTTAAACGCACATCACCTAAAAATGTAACGTGTCTCACCGTGGCAGACTGCTGCACTATCCTGTCCCCTGCAAGAGAAAATATACTGTCACTCAATAATTTTATTTATGCTTAAAAGTTATGGGTTAATCAGAGCAAATAATACAAATCTATGTCGTAGCATCAATTAACGCAATATCTAAATGAAATACTGCAGGTAACACAAAGGTTCTTCTTGAAAATGTATGTCAAAAGGTCAATTTTAGTCATGCAATATATAAATCATAATTTTTTACATTTTGAACAACATAAAGCCATATGTTTTTGTTCATGCAGCTGAACTTGTAATGGAAAAAAATATCTGCTTTACAAATAAATTTATTTTTTGTATAAACACTATTAATACAGTGGTCATTATATTATAGTGGGAGCAGATTTGTATTTACAAAGAGTATACTGTAGATTAGAGCGGATGGTCCTTACTAAAAGACACAATATTATGACAAACCAACAAACTCCTTGCTGAGATGAGTAATGCTGTATCATGTGGCAATTTCTACAGACTTTTAAAAGTACCAGTATTACAGACTTCTCACCATCCTGTGTGATTATGACAGTTTCCCAGACATATTCTGAGTCTTCATCTTTCTTCTTCTCCTTGTCCTTGTCCTTCTTCTTCTTTTTCTTCTTGTCATCCTGAAACAGAAAATTAAATGAAGAGTTAAGATCATTTCAACCAGGAACAGGCAAGTTCTTATCAGAATTATGAGGTGAATTGTGAGTTCCATGGACACAATGACTGTTAGCAGATTTTCCAATTTAACCAAATACACTATTTTATAAAGAGTTTGTATTTAATGTTAAAAGTTAAAGTCGCATTGTGTAACCTTTCTGGTGGAGGGTCCGCCACCTGCTTGTCTCCAAGGAGATGTAATTGTTTTGTTTGGAATGTCTCAGTATGGCATTAAACGTATCTTTCTTGCATTTACTCAATAACATGGGTTGTTATTGACATTAAAACTTGCATTCTTACTACATTATGAGTAGGCTCGCCTCTACACATATCCACAGATCTGACATGTAACTTGGCCCTGTGGTATCTGTAGAAATAAGTGCAAAGCCATACTGTGGAACATTCCTGGCAATATCTCCATGGAGAAAAACAGATGATGGACCCTCCACCAGAAAAGTTACATATTGCACCTTTAAGTAGCGGAAAACACGCAGTCAAACAATTGACAATAAAATTTAGTGAATGAAACAGGAATTCCACTGAAATACTCAGTCCCATTCCATACTCAGCTGTGTAACAGAAGACATGTTCAAGCCTGCGTTCACCTGCACTGAAAACATACTATCTGCACGCTTTATTGTCTTGACTTGTTGAGCGAGTACATGTCAGAAATGTTATAAAAATGGGCGTGTGTCTCTTTCTGATACCATAAAACCATGGACCCGCCTTGTGTCTATAGTGACATTCTCTTATTCTCATTTAAACAGTTTAAATTTAACCCAGGGAAACTCGGGAATGTCTCTGCATGGGCTGGTCCTGTCAAACCAGTGGGTGTGAAAAATACAAAAGCATTTGACAGCCCATGTATCTTCAAAACTGCATTGTGCCTCGTCACCTGTTTTACCCGAAAAACCTGATTTTTGCCAAAGAACACTGGGCAGTCAGGGATCAAAGTAGTGGGGCATTTTTGTGTACATATTTCTCAACAGTTGTAACTATTTGCAATGTGAAAGTCCTAGTACAACTGGTATCTGGTACAGGAAAAACAAAAATAAAAACAATGACATTCTGGTGAAAAAGTGAGTGTTACTGAAAACTTAACATTTCAATCATTGCGTAGACTATGACTGCCTATAATTCATTTGAGTACTGCTAGAGTAGGTGCAATAGCAGATATGAAAGGGCAATAAAAAGTAATAGTAGACACTACCAGTCAAAAGCTTGGACACACCTTCTCATTCAATGTTTTCTTTATGTACGCTACCTGCCTACTTACATACTGAAGACATCAAATATATGATGCCAGATATATGTAATAGTGTAGTATACAACACAAGGTAAATAATTCAATTCAATATTTCTTTATATTTTATATTAAAATCCTCAAAGTAGCCACCCAATGCTTTGTTGACAGCACTATTCTCTCAATGAGTTTAACAATGAAGTCACCTGAAATACTCTTTTTTTTTTTGGAGTTAAATTGCTTTTTTGCTGTATTCCATTCATTCATAATTTTGGTGCCTTCAATGAGAACAAACAATGTAAGTAACCTTGGATAAAAACTAAAAATAAATGAAAAAGTGTGTCCCAACATTTGACTGGTAGTGTATTAATGGTAGAAATAGTATTAGTAGTAGGAGGAGTTTAAATGCTAAATTTAATATATGTTGGGTTCTGCACATTTTAACAATGCAAAAACAACTTGCAGACACTCCCTGTGCTTTGGTGCAGTAACACGGGTGTAACATGTTGGAGCAGAATTAGAGCTATGTACTATGTGAACTTGTATGTTTGAAAGGTATGTACTGTATTATTTAGAAATACAATAGTAATTATTGTATTAATTACTGTAAATAAAAATGAATGAATAACATTTTTAAGTTGTAGTAGCAGATATTAAAGATTATAGTAGGATTAATGCAGAAGAATGAGAAGTTCATTATAATGGAATATTCCACAGTAAGGTGGCATTCAGCTTATTTATCTTCATGGAAACAAGCAGGTGTCTCCACCAGAGCAAATTACAGATCAGATCTGTTGAGGGGCAAGTATGTGCATAGTAAGAATGCATGTTTTAAAAGTGGTTTCAGCAACAGACCTATAAATGAATACTACGGAACATTCCAAGATGAGCAGAAACATCTCTTAGTGGCAGACCCCTCACCAAAAAAGTTCCTTAGTGTACCTTTACAATGTCTTAAACTAAAACTCACCTCACTGTCTGAATCACTGTCGGAGGAGCTACTGGAGGAAGAGGAGGAAGAGGAGGAGGAAGAAGAGGATGATGACGATGAAGACGACGAAGATGAACCTGAATCCTATTGAGAAGCATGAAGCAGGAACTTATTTCTTATGCACACATTTACATAAGACTGTTGTAAACTTTGCTGTGTGATAAAAATGAAAAATGAATGTTAAATAAATGACTCATAGATTCTGTGAAAAAAGTCCAGTCACAGTGGGAGGAACTGATCAAACAACTGTTTAAGAGAAGATTGTGTGCACACACCCAATTCAGAAATGTTTCAATCAAACCCACTGGGATTTTTTTTCTGTGACCTGATTATTTCTGATTAGTACACACTATACTGTACTCATTTAATTCATTTATTTCCTATATTACACAAAAGTGACTCCTGTGAGCTTTAAGACATGTTGTAATGCTGTTACCTCATCAAAAACATACCCGTAGTTTTATTTCATTACACATGCTTAGGTAATCCTGGATTATTAGACTGTCTACATCTCAAAAGGTCAAAATGCTCTTTTCCATATTGTGATGTCATGGAGTGGTAGTTTTCAAGTTAACTGCTACCTTTTACGTTTAGTTCAGTAAAGATTGGCAGTTCCAGGGCTGAAATTGTCCAATTGAATCTAGAGAAGGTGTATGGAGTTTAAAAACACAGTGGAGCACTTCCTGTTATTACCGTATTACCACATGACATCACAAGGTGGAACAGAGTGTTTTTCATTTGAGAAAATAACTTAGCATAAATGTGCAGGGTTTGTGCGTTAATCACGTGTGAACGAAACAAAACACAGCTCCATATATGTTTTTAGTGAAGGAACAACATTGTGCATTTTAAATCTGCAAAGAAATTTTCAGAAGAAGACAAGTTTAAAACATTGCCTTTCTATAATTTAACCTGCTCTTTTTAAGTGTGTTATAATAATGCAATCAAGTAATTGTTAGAAGTAGCAGAAGTACTAGTTCATAGGAGGATGTTGTCTTGCAAAATACAGCCAGTAAGCCTGTTCTTTGGTTTATCTCCTTTAGAGTTGTAATAGTGGGCAAAAAAAAACTTTCCAATGCAGTATTTACCTTATTCTGGAAGTTTCCATTTTAAACCCTCCCCTCCCAGAAAATCAGAATGTTGTTGACTTGTTGGTGCATATGAACAATGAACATGTTACACAAATAAACCTACTTTATGTCATATTTAGGCTGTAAAATGTTTCTCAAATTTGCCATTCATATAAATCCTGTTTAGAGACAAATGGGTGGGGTGGAACGTGGTGAATACTTGTGTGATGTTTCATCTAAGGAAAGTGTATTTGTAATAAAACACCTGCTATTAAAAGTACTTATACCAAAGCAATTAACACAATATTTCCTTAATGCCCCCAATGTAATCATAATGTAGATATGAGACATGCTATTGGCAACTGCGTTCAATGTTTCGATTTTTTCTCAATAATATGGGCCAAGCTAATGTAAGAAAATAAGACTGTATATTATATATATGGCAAGTCAAGATGTCACAATTTAACCTTTAACATGTTCTGAAAAATGTGTTATTCAACTTTATAGACATTCTACTTCCTGAATATGGATTTTGCACTGATTTTAAATGGACAAACCCCACACTATTTATTCAGGCCTTGATAAGCTGCACAAACAATACTGGAAGCTGAATACTGATAAAAATATGAATTGAGAAAAGCTGTTCTAGGTTTCACGTAGGCCTCTCATTATAACTGATTTTGAAGTACAATATATTGCTACAAAATTCACAAACAAAAATACTAAAACAACTTCACACCATAATCCCAGCTAATTTTGTAAAGAAGAAAAAAACAGAAGTAGTATAATGTGTAATAGATGTCAATTATAGTTCAAATGTTACAATTTAGGCTTAATCAATATGAAAAACTAAGATGGTCACAAATGGTCACATTTTTCTAGAGCGCTTTTCCACCTTCAAGGCACTCAAAGCGCAAAGATAAAACCCCAAATAGTGCAAAGATGTGATAATTATTTAGCCTGAAATAAATATTGTTCTTTCTATCATATATTTAAATCAGTATAGTAATTATTGTGACAGAACAATTTTCATGTGCTAGAGCAGGCATGTCCAAACTACGGCCCATGAGCCAATTGTGGCCCTCGGACAAATTTTTCTTGGCCCTCAGGCTTCCAGGAGAATTGGCCCAAATGACCTTACATCAATGAAAAACTATCTTTTTACTGTAAGTTTTTTGAAAATCTACCTTGATAAAGCTAATATTAAATATTTTGTGTGTGGTTTTAAGGATCTTAGCATGAATAAAGACTGATGGCTCATTCTGATGTGTTAAACATGCACGTATTTCAATTATTCACTGTAATGAGCACCAGTCTACGGCCCTCGATCAACCCTCTGCTTCATCTGTGTTGAGAGATATGGCCCTTGATGAAAAAAGTTTGGACACCCCTGTGCTAGAGGGTATGAGTCTGGTTTATAGTGCCAGTAAAAGTAATATTAGTGTTATAGTAGTAGTAGTAGCAGCAGCAGTAGTAGTAGTAGTAATAAAGTACTTTTTGCTGACTTTAATCACATACCTTCTTCTTTTTCTTCTTTTTGAGCTTTTTCTTCTTCTCTTTCTTGCCTATGCCCTCATCCTCACTGTCAGATGAGGACACGGAGCTATCAACTGAGTGAATCCACTGCACAAAGACACAAAATGATCAAAATGATCCATCCATGAATCTTTAACACTTACACAGAATTTGAATTAAGTATTAATGTATGCTGACCTCCCCATCTCCTGTTGCTATAGGACATGTTGACTCATCTTTAGCAGGGTCTCCAGTGCCAGCGCCTTCTGTCCCGGGCTGCACTGCCCCAGAGCTCAGGGCGGCTAGATCCGCATCACCTCCACCTGTACAAGATATCATAGATCAACAAGTATTACTATATTTCTTTATTTTACTCTTACTGTATTACTACATTTCTATATTTTATTATTTCTTGTGCATACACATTAATAGAATTATTCCCTATTAACTCCAGTCTCTTGTTATTTTTGCTACTTATTTTGAATTTATTAGTACCATTTATATTTTTGCGCTGTGTTGAGAAGTATGTGAGAAATAATTAGGCCTATCACAATAATTAGTATCACTTATTATTCAATATAAGCTGGAACAATATATTTTTGGGCTCAGTATTTATCATGGACTTTTTCATTGCAATAAAGGGGAATTTTTGGTTATTTATTTGGCTATATGATAAGATTTAAGATATAGAAGATTGTATTAATTACTTCTATAACTCATTACAGATGCAAACTAAGTATTAAGTGTTTCAATCTTCTGTTTATTTATTGCAGCTCATATTTTAACAATATTATAGATTTAGAACAGTTTTTATGGTTTAAATCTGTAGTGGCATAAATTTGTTTCAATATTATCATTTATCATCTATAATTACATAATCAATACATCGCACTAATCATTAATCAGTAAGTAGTAGCAGTATTAGTGGTAGTAGTAGTCAAAGTATTGGTATTAGAAATCATATTATTGGTAACACCCTAGTAGTAATAATGGTAGCAATAGCAGCAGTAGTAGTAGTAGTAGCAGTAGTGGTAGTAGTACCACTGTTTTTTTCAACATGGTGTACTTTGGCTCACAAGAAGGCTACTTTTCAGTTTATCCTTGTAGGTGTACGGTTAATGAAAAAGTAGCGGAAATAGCTTATGATTGCAACTACCCTTATCCTATTACAATCAGAAAACTACCAAGCCGCTATAGTACTATCTTACATCCCCTTACCTGTTTTAATTATAAAGATATAAAAGTGTTACAATAGGCTATTGATAAACTCTCCAAAACAAACACCAACACATTTGAATGAGTCCTTATAGAAGCATGATTTAGTTGTGACAGCCACATGACAATCACTTCCTCATTTTGATAAATTTGTTGGCAAATGTTTAAAAAAAAGTAAGAAAAAAAAGTAAAGAAAAAGAATGAAAACATGACATTAAATAAATTTAGGTTACATCAAATGGTGCTTGATTAATTACTTGACCTCTGCATTGACTTACGCTTTGAGTTCACACACCCATAGTTGCAATAGAAAAGAAAAGCCTCATAAGTCTAAAATAAATCTAAAAAGGACTCAAATAAAAGTTGTTAATGCATAAATAGGCTAATATAAGCCTGCTTGTCAGAGGTTAGTAAGAGATTGGATAACACTGAGATAAAATACAGCAAGTCAATTATGCAACTAAATGTAACCTTAAGAGTGTTTCGAGTTTTACATAGATCTAAATGGATAAAAAGACGTAAAACAAACCTGTGGGGAGGGTGCCGGCCTCCATGATCCGGACTGCGCCACTTCGGTCTCCACCTGAGCGTTCAAAGGCGTGTGCATGGTGTGTTCATAGACTTCGATGTGGGTGGGGCAGAGGGCGGTGTAACTACATAACAAGTACAGAGGCTTCCCTGTAAACTTCACCACAGTGAGTCAGAGCGCAGTTCGAGTTAAAGAGGGTGCTTTGGATCATTTTTCAGTGCAAAGCATTAGAACATCAGGTGTTTATGTCATTAAGAGAAAATCCAAAGAATAAAGTTTAGGTGATTAATTGATCTAAAAAATGTATAAGAATAGTAATACATTAATCATACTGTCAAGATAAATTCATTATATTCTGAAAAATAAAACGTGTAACATTAACCTGATCTTTACCAGTCATGGTGACAACCACACTTCCACGGTGACAACAGGTAGTGCAACAGGTGGCGCAAGTTTTACCTGTGAGACCGTAAAATCAAGGAAAAGATAAGGACTCTGTAAAATGGAAAGTCGCTAAATTGTATTGAGCATATATGACTCAACTGTGGATGAGATGAGTTTTTTTTGTTTTTTTTTGCTAGTTGGAAGTGATACAAAATTATTCGAAAAATGTATTTAGTACTGGTGCGGCTTCCGTTCTGGAATATTTATGGAAAGCGGAAGTATTTTCCCTTCAAAATAAAACTATCAATTGTCGTTTTAAAATAGCAAAAAAACACTACTAACAGAAGCACAATATACGCGCAAAATGCAGATTTACAAGGTTTTACGGACAGGCGTAAGTAACATTAACGTTGTGGAGCTTTCCACTTAGCTTGTTCATAGTTTAATGACAGTAACTTTGCTTTATTTTGAAATAGCTATGGAAATGAAAGGAAATGTGTATTTTTGTGCTCGTCACTAGCTTTGTAGTTTCTTCCACAACAAAGTTACGAGATATGTGGCTTAGAGGTGTATCTTTTCAAAGGTGAACATTTTAATTTATTTACAATAAAAAGACGTATCGAAATGATAGAAGACTTTACTATGTGGTGTCATTCAAGCTGAATTGTTGTGGACATGTTTTACTGATTAAGACAGACGACGCGGATGGAAATGATCATTCATACTGGCATTATCATTGGTAACACCTAAATGTGTGGAGGCCAGCATGCCAACTCAAACCATCACCACTCTACCGGGGAGTGTGGCTCTGCTGGCCGCCTTGTTGGTCATTTTGGGTCGGTGTCTGGGTGGATCTGCGTGGCCAGGCTGCGACAATGGAAAAGTAAGTGGTCAGCTCAGCTGGTCCTGTTTCTTGTCTTGTTTCCACCCTGTATTATGCTGATGTATGTTTTCTGATGTTGTGTGACAGGTTTTACTGGATACTGACCTCCCCAAAGACGCATCGCACTGGGATTGCCCTACTCCTCTATGGCCACAATCTCAGGTAGCTACTGTATATCTGACCACTGGGATGGATTGAGGAACCAAAGTCTCTACTCAGATGATCTTTATTTCATATTAGCCTATTCTACTCATTGCGTATTTTAGTAGAAGTAAAAAGCATCCAACCTCTTAAAATGACAGAGATTGTGGTATTAAACAAGTTAATGAAACAAACAATTAATTTATGCAGTAAATGACAAAATATGTGCAAATATACAAAGATTTCTGTAAATATTTTTGAATTAGTTACATATTTACCACATATAAACAAGAAATTAATTAAAAAGAGAATAATCATACTATCATATTAAATCTATTCTAGTGCAAGACGCTGAAACAGCTTTACACAAACACATTTGCAAGTCAGCAAAAACAGATTACAGATAACAGTTAACATTGTAGCAAGCCATGATACAAGGTCTGGTTTTGTCAAGTGTAATGTTAGGAGCAAATGCAACTTCAAATAGGAAAGAGAGAAAGAGATAAAGCATTTCAAAGCTACTGTTGTAGCATATATGTGCTAAAAGCTTTTCACACCATAATGTTACTCTCTTTCCGGTTGGGAAGAGCAAACATTTCATTTGTTCATGCTTTTTATCTACAGAGACTTAACGGTGTGGACACAGTGTATGATCCAGAGGTGAGTAAACACACATTTTAGAAACTGCTATCTTTATTGGATTTTCCCTAAACTTTGACCCGGTGAACTCTATGATAATAGCAACGTCATTTTCTTTGTGTAGCCTGCCAAATTGACATGCATGGATCAGCGGATTAGCTACAATCTCATCATCCCAAACAGGTTTGACTTGTATTGTAATGTCACTGCCAGGCTTGATGAGTTGTATTTCTGATGTTTAATCACTTAAATGTCTTTGCACATGATTGTTTCAGTGGCACATTCAGACCAGTGAGTGCAGAGAGTGGGGAGTATCTCTACTGCCCTCCACAGAGATGGCTCAACAATTTGCATGTGAGTCAAAACTATTGTATTATATTACATTACCTTTATTATACCGGTAATATATTTCTCTAATAATTTCCTGAGATTATGGTGCAACAATTAATTAAACAATCTAGAGTATAAGAATGTAGAGCTATTGTAACAGTTATAATTACCTGGATTGTAAAATTGATGATCAAATTCTTTTTGCTTCTGGAGGAATTGGCCTAGTCCACAAATGCATTAAACATTTTGTAATAGAAAAGAGTAGACATTTACTTCCTGTTTTATTTTATTATCAAACATATTTTCCATTATTTAATTACTTTCAAATAAAACTAAATCATTGTCTCTAGATCACAGTAGCGTATTATAACGTTTAACAATATCGTTTTCCTAAAGTTGATATGTTTATGTTATAGCATGGAGCTACAGTGTTGCTTTACCATCCCTGCTCTCCTCTCCACGAGCGCCTGCTTCTGTCTGCTCTGGCTCAGTCCTGTATCAGCGAATACATCCTTACACCACACAAGAACCTGGACAAAAAAAGGGTAAGACAATTATAGTATACAAAAGAAAACATAATATAAACAAGCGTGTTATGATGTCATAGAGATGTTGTAGATGCATTACTTAGTTTTTGCTTTCTTTTCAGCCCTTTGCTTTTGTGTCCTGGGGTCGGACTTTGGAGGTCTCCACTGTGGCGTCTTCAGAAATATGTGACTGGCTCAATCAGACAAGCTTCACAAAACCTAAGGCTACAGAACAGAGGCATAAAAACCACTACAGCCATTTGTTGACCCGATCTGTGGACCAGAACAGGCACCAAGAAAACAAGGTTAGACATTTATTATCAGGAAATGATGATAAAATCTTGCTGTTTGCTATTATTTCAGTTGGCAGTGGAATAAGTGACTTTTGGTTGTTCATTGCAAACAAGAAATTCTGAATAAAATTGAACATTTCAATCTTACCAGTTTTTTGTTTTAGGGTTTAATGATGGAAATCTAAAATTAACATTAATATGAAAAGACAATAGAGACAAGTGGGAATGATAAATGCTAGTTATACGTTTTTGATAGAATAAATATATTTTATTTTGTATTTATTTTATCTTTCTTCAACCAGGAAAGTCCCACTGAGATACAGAGATCCCTTTTTGGCCAAGAGGTATCAGGAACTCAACCCAAAGATTAAACATTTTATATAAGACGCTCAGACAATATAAAGTGTTAAGAGCACAATTAGAAACAGTGACTGGTCAGTGATTGCATTTCCAGGTCTTTCTGTACAGTTTAAACAAATGTCTGTAAAGAATTCCTGCTTAAATCTGCAGAGCACAGTACTGGAATAATTAATAATAATTTGACAAAAATCTAATATTTTTCAGGGATCTCTGAAGCAATGCTGTGAGCAGACCATCTCATCCCTGCTGGAAAAAATGAAGACACAAGTGCATTCAAACTTCAAAACTGGAATTACTGAGCTGAAAAAGGAGAGAGTAAAAAGGGCAGCTGTGAAGTCAACTACGGATTTTCCAAAAGTTACAAGCAACCAGACCAGTAGCATTATCCACCGGCTTCAAAGCAATGCAATACCAAAAACGATTTCTTCTCAACATGGGGATCAAAGCCATACAAAGGATGCCCTCTCCCAGTCCACGAGCTTGAAAGAAAATCTTCTCCACAAAAAGTTTATGCCAAATACATCAAGGACCGCAACCAATAATGTTTCTTTGATACACCCACAAGGACAATTACACACTGTGGATTCAAATGACAACAATATTGAAAAAGTGCAAAGTAAAAGTAACACTACAGCACGAATGGATATTAGTAAGCAAAAGGCTAAAGGTGTGACTAAAGTTGTTGCTAACCCAAAAGTGAATGAAGTAATAGATTTGGAAGAAAGAGAAATTGATAAAATGAACAATGTAAAATCTCATCAAAGTGGATCAAATGCTGTGGATTCTGCCTCCAAATCCCAGGCAGTTGGTTACTTGCCCAATAGTGGTGACTGTCAATGCAAACCAAACCAAGTGTGTGAGTGTGATACAGGAGCAGGAGACAGGAGCCAGAGTGCAGGGGGGAGCTTCCAGAGGACCCCTCGCACAGATGAGGCGGTATGGGCTGCGGGGGCTCTGGGTTTCCTCCTGGTTCTCCTGACCTTGTCCTATTCTCCACACTCGCCTTTACAAACACTGGAGGAGAGGGACCAGTCTGTACTGGCACGATCCTCAACAGGACTACGACAGTGTGGCAGGTAAAAAGCTAAAGACAATAATGCAAGCATGTGGTGGTTTTGTACAAGGTTGGTCCAAAAATGCATAATCTGTGATTTACTGATCATTATTCACAGATATTTTACTTCAGCGTTTTAAGAAACACATCTATATTTTGAAAGACAGTTAAATGTTATAACGCCTATCTGAAATGAATTTGTTGATTTTGTCTGCTCAGAACATTACTTTATTTAAGTGAAATTTTAGGCCGACTGCAATGACCTGCAAGTGAGCAGTCAGTGACTTCAACTGAATTTTTAAATAGAAACTTTTATGGTGATTGCAAGCAGTTTGAAAATATAAAGATATCTCAGTAGTCTTACTTACATATGTGGGCAATTGCTGACACCTACTGTTTCACTTGTGGTACTACATTTAAGCTCATTGAGTGTAAAAGTTGCATGCAAGATCCTATTAAGTACTCTGTCATTTTTTAAAGTGCTTAAATAAATCTGTCTCTGTGTTACAGATGTGATCCGCCGCAGGCTGCGAATTTCCAAAAGGAGGCGCAAAAGAGGCAGAAAGAAGGAATGTGTTTTACTGCCCAGCTCCTCCAGTTCAGAGGAATATCCATAGGATGGCAGTTTGGAACAACAGGGCATTTTATATGGGCTTTCCATAATCGCACTCCTCATTGGATTTTACACATTTTACATCTCACAGCTGGGCTCTTAGACTTAATATTACAGCTTTCTGCATTGGTACGTTTTTTAGTCGGGAACAGTTTTTATAGTTTCTACAATAATGAGCTGTATAACGATATATTTTGTAATGTGGCTTTTTGAAAAACACAGACTGTTTGTTGCTGTTATAAGCAATGTAGTGGTTAGTACCATTTAATGGTACCGAAGTAGCTGTTAAATTTGTAGCAGGGATGTGGAGATTTTTTTGTGTGCAGAGATGAATACTGCACAAAGCTGTCTTTGTTTTTGTTATAAATAAGAACATTGGGGGGAATTGCAACAATTTATTTGAAACACAATTTTTTTCAACTGAGAACATCATTTGACTTTACCCAGTGTACAGATGATTTGAGATGACAAGTATTGCACATTTCTGAAAGTGAATGTAAAAGAGACTCACCCTGAGATGGGTACTGAAGTGACGCTGTTGTGCAAAACTTAAAAAGGGATTACACTGCATAAAAATGTAATAGTGTTAAAGGAAAAAAAGGAACTATGTCTTTAACTGACCCATCCTTCATTGCCATTGGAGCAACCTGTCAGGAGCAGCTGCTGTATCTAGTACATAGCTTGAAGATAAACCTGTATATAAAGCCTACATAATTAGTTTTAGGTTGAGACACAGAAAGAACATACAAACTCCACATAGAAAGGCCACCTGGCTGTTAATCAAACTCCCCACCTTAAAGTGGAACCAAACACTCTATCAACTTTTTGGAAATCACACTGTGTATATGGTGTTTGAATACCATTGTCTACTGTATTTGAAATGTGTTTGTGGGTGGAGTTTAAGAGTTAATCCCATCTGAACCGTCCAGCAAAGAATGACAAAGTTACTCGAAGGACAATTAATTGTTTTATTATTTTATTACAAATGTACAGCTTATGAGTTTACATTACGATTTGACCTTGTAAGTCATTGTTTTCTCTACTTTATACATTATCTTCTGTTAAAAGATCTCTCCCAAAGTGTTTGAAACATACCAGTAAAACAGGCCACAATGCACTGCCAGTGGCTCAGCTTCGACTGGCTCTAAATGTCTTATTTGTGGAAAGGTTGGTCCATTTGTTGTTTATTGAATGTCCCAAAAACTGTTAAACTCTGGAAAGTATGTGCTGAAATTGTGATAAAATATTTTGAACATTCACACTTGAGGCACCATTAAGTGTCCATGAATTTCCAGGATGTGCGTTTTGAGACCATTTGAGATGACCATAGCGCCAAAGATCTTCATGATTTCTTATATAGACAACCAATGCACTTAAAATCAAGACAATATGAAGGACAACAAAATCTGCAGTTTGAAAATACAATATAATAAAAATTCCTTTTAACATAATGAATTGCAATCAAAATAAATTAACTTGTCATATTTAAAAGGGCCTATATTATGCTATTTTTAGATCTATGTTATGTTGTCTCTTCATCAAAAACATATCCAGAATTGTGTTTTGTTTCATTCACACACAAATCCTGCATATTTAGCCTCTGTTCCATTTGGTGATGTCATGTGGTACAACATTCTAACTCACAAATAAACAATTTTGCGTAGTATAGGACCTTTAAACATATTGATCTGCTTTTTGTTCATTACGGGTGTTTGCTCAAAAATACAATAATAGTAGCGTAGTGCTGTCTCCCTCGTGATGGATTTAGGTTTAGTCATTTTAAACAAAGAACTAACACTTCCATGGAAACAAACAGGTGGTGGACCCTCCACTAGAAATATTACGCAGAGCACCTAAACTAAAAAAAAAATATCCAGGAAAATGTAAGTGTTGGCCCAAAATATTGCAATCTGATCCACATCTGCACATTACTGGTTATAGTAATTTTAAAATATTTTCTTTATAGAATTATATGCATAAAAGTAAATGTTTTAAGTACATTGGGTGTCACAATTTAAACCTGAAGTCTGTTTGGCTCAACTAAATAAAGAAATAAATATCTCCCAAGTATAATCCTTATAGCTTAATGACAACATGAAAATATATGCATTTACTATACACATGGCCAGTCAAAAAGGTGGTTTCTCTAACTTGGCCCACACGCATTCATTTGTAGTGTTTTCTTTATATTTTAAGTGGTCAAATTTAGTTTAAAAAAAATCATAATTATAGTGTGCAAGACATTCAAATTCATTCAATACAATCTGACCATCAGTCTCCCATACAGTGGCACATGAGCAAAAATCGCTGGACAGTAAAGCATTTGAAGAGAGATCCCATTGGGTAAAAGTTTAAGCTAATTTTCAAGTGTTGTTATTTAAATTATAAAGCAATTACAGCCAAAAATACAAGCAATGAAAATGAAAACTAAAATGTGCTGCTTGGAAGGAAAGTAATTTGAAAAAAAAAGCAGATTTCTCTAACAAAGATGACTGAATTTGAACCAAAAGACACATTAAAATAAAAAAATGAAAATATAATAACAGGTTTTTGATTTACAATAAACAGTACGATCTGTATTTATCAAGTTATCTCAGCACAAAACAAAAAACAGTTGAATTTGAAAATAAAGATTTGTTCCCAATGCTCTCACACACAGAGGCCACACAAGCAGGTTATGGCATGATAAACCTCGATTAGACGAAGGCTGAAATAATAATCTTAGATACAAGTATGTAAACAACTTGGTGTCTTAGTGTCTGTTTCTATCAACTTGAATACATCGCACACATTGCCTGTCCTGTTTTATGATTCTGCTGTTGCACCCAAAATTATTCACCAATAGTTAAGTGATTGTGGCTGACTGATTAAATAATGGAGATACTTTTTTTTTTTTTTTTTTCATGGTCAATGCCGATTCTGTCTGTTTAAAATACAGAGCAACCGATGGCCACTAAGCTCTGCCGATATTTTTGGGCCGATTTAAATTATTTTCCCCAAATAATGCAATGTAAATTTACTGTAAACTCACCCATGGCCCTTTTATTTTTTAAACAAAAACCTTTAAGAGAACTGTGCAGTCCCGTTTTGTCCATTTAAAGTGTTAATATAAAACTTTGTGTGTATTTTTTAGGCAGCAGATTGAACCAAACAAAATATCGGCCTACGCTTGAAATGTAAGACTGATAGCCGATACACTAAAAAAGTCCAAAAATCTGTCTGATATATCGACCAACCGATATATCAGTCTATCTAGAAGTAAATAATATGGCAAAAACACTTTTTATAGGCTCTTTGTAGCTCGTGTTTGATTCATTTAGAGTCCTCCTTTGGGTTGTTCAAAAGGATATCCAAGTCTTACGATACGATATCGTCATGGTACGAACCTCACGGTACAATATTTATTGCGTTATCGTGGGAAAGCTCACGATATGGTGGGAAGGCTCACGATGAGGGATGTAACAATATCCAAATCTCATGGTACGATATTTTCATGATATACATCTCACGGTATGATATTTATTGCGATATTTTGTGGAGGCTAACAAAACTGTGAATACGCTACTTTTTCCTCTTTAAATGCCTCGACAAGACTTAATCCAAAGAACTAAGACTTAAAAGTGCTTAGAACTGTTATTTCTTCTTGTAGTCTACACTGAAATGGAGCAAAGGATCATGGTCTATGTAGTTCCCTCTGTCTTTTTTTTGCTATTGCTGCACCATAACTCTTAATTTAAGCAAAGACACTTGTAATCTGATATATTGTGATGGTCCACGATATTATTGTGAGAACTTTGACGATACGATATCACAGTATTTTGGTTATTGTTTACATCCCTGCTATTCAAGTCATGCTATAGTCAAGATCTAAAGACCTTTAGATCTTGTTTAGACTTGGTTGTACTGGGAGACCCAAATTTTATCTGACATGGCACTTGGTGTGAGAAGTTTACAGAGCCAAGAACCTAATGTAATGTTTATCACAGTTGTTGTACACTTTATTGCCACTAGGGGGCAATATTAGTAATTTCCTTCATATTCAGTGTGGTTACCTTTTATGTTCTTTTTATATTAAGTGAGATTTTAGACCACAGGAGGTCACCGTAGTCCATTTTATTGACATGAAAAGGAACCATGAGCAGAGTTTCCAGTTATATTGCCCAGTGTTACAAGGGTCTTATACAGGATACATTCTCATTCAGAAATTTAAGGCAATTAAATTCAACAATTCTGAAAGTATTTACACTTTTTTGTGGGAATAAGTGGCAACATAGGAACCCTTAGTAATAGTAGCAGTAGCAGTAGTAGTAGTAGTAGTACTAGTAGTAGTAGCCAGCCACTGTAAACGACCAATTTCTCAATATAGCTGAGTAATTTTGGGTACAACATTAATCAAGATCTCACCATAATGCTCTTTGCAACTACTTGGCACAGTAAAAGTATTTGAGATGATTACACTTGATTTTTCGCTAAATAATATAAAAAGATTGTAATATGGTCAGGTAAACAGGGCTTTTTAGTGTGACCTGAAACTTGCCTCTTTCATATTTGGCAACTTTAACTCTTCATTGTAATTCAGCCATAACAAACAGGACCATTTCACAGGTGATGTCCGTAAATGAGATATCCTAGTATGCGTCTCCTCCTTCCACTAAACGAGACAATGAAATAAACACGGATAAACAGTTAAATCAAATAGACAATAAAATATCAATACAAAAACATAGGATAAACAATAACATTAATTATTCCAGTGTAAGTGTTTTGTAAGTCAGTAATGCTCGTCCTTAGAAGTGCAGACGTCACCAAATCTGCGTTGTATAAAAAAGTAACAAAAAACAATAATAATAAAGAAATTAAAACATGCCGGATCATGCTATGTTCCACCAGTAGAGGGCGTATTGGAGAGTGGTAGTTGTAGTGTTAAGCTACTAGGGTTTTCCGGACTTTTTGGGGACGGTTTTGTGGTATGAAAGAGGGTGGCCTGGTGGAAAAGGAGCAGTGAGAGGGGAGTGAGTCAAGATTGGTCTCTTAACATCCCAGTGACAACCATTTTATTGTAGAAAATGTCTTCCAAAATCCGGGAAGACAAAATAATAAATAGTGTTTCCAGTTCTCTGTGCATCGTTGTTGTATTTCACTTTGGTGCGTCACAGTTTCACGGTTTTTCCAGTTGTCAAAATGGTCATCCAAAAAAATTGCATCCTTTCTTTCAACATTCTCCTCCTCTTTTGTAAAATAGCTCTGTAGTGGTTTTGCTTTTTCAACTTCCATGCATCCTCTTCTTCAGCGCATCTTGACTCCTCCTCTCCCTCGCACCACACTGTCGCAAAAATCCCTCTTTCCATCCACATTCAAGCCCTTCGATCCTTTTTAGTTACGTTCTTCTATCTGGACGTATTTTATTGTTTCTTCTCTCGCGTGGTGATGGTGACTAGCTGTTTGGCTGCCTTGGCGATGTCATAAGCGCACTGTATGACCTGCTGTGTGAGGAGCTGGTAGTCCACGGCGGGGGCCCCGGGGTCCGAGGGCGCTGCTTTACGACATTCCACCTGTAACCGCGATGCACTCGAGGCCAACAGACGCAGAGAGCAGTGCACCGCATCCAGAGCCGGACGCTACAAGAGAGAGACAGGAGGTTCAAAAAAGATTGAAAAAACATTTTTGCTTTTGGACAGTACGGCTGTAGTCCTCAAGTTGTTTGGTTGATCAATATGTAAAAAAAATGGTGACTACATATTTCATTAGGATTACAATGATGTATATGGACCACAGCAGAATGAAGTAGGCTTGCAGTAGACATGTTAGTGCCATATGAACCATCTCGCACTCTGAGGACCTCAGGGACCAGCCTCCTGCTGGTGCCCAGAGTCAGGACTAAACAAGGGGAGTCAGCGTTTCAGGTTCATGTAGCTAAAACCTGGAACAGTCTTCCTGATCATGTGAGACAGGCTTCTTCTTTGACGCTGTTTAAATCCAGGCTCAAAACATTTCTGTTTAACTGTGCATATGACTGAAAGGTTTTCATTCCGCACTCTTCTCTCCAATTTATGTCTCTCTTTTTTAATTTTAATCTTTTATGATTATTTATGTTTTTATTTGTTTTTATTATGATTTTAATGTATTTCTTATTCTGTAAAGCACTTTGAATTACTTTGTGTACGAATTGTGCTATACAAATAAACTTGCCTTGCCTTGCCTAGGCTTGGGGGTAAGTACGTTAGAGATATGGGGAGAACTCAGAGTAAAATTGTGAGTTTAATTTCCCTTTTGATAGATAAATACATTGTTCACTGCCAGAAGTTTGCTACAAAAATATGTGTTGGCGTGAACTCCTGTGATCTTGTGATCTTGTCAGTGCACTTACTTTGGGAAAGAGGGAGGCCATCTCTGTGACTGCTGAGTGGATCTTTTCTGAACATGGAACAAAACTGAAAGCAAATATGAAAGATAGTCAGCACATGGACATATTACACCATCAGTTTTTCTCATTTTTTTGTTTTTTTACAAATCTTCAAGAACAAGGCTTACAAGACTGGCACAAAAATAATCTTAAGTACAATACACTTAGCTGGTTGTACCCGTTGCATTGAACTAGGCCACATCATAATTGCTCTGCTCCTCACCTGTCGTGTTTGAACTCCTGTGCAGCCCTCAGCAGCTCCTGGATGTTTTTGGTCACCTGTTCAGTTTTCAGAATGACATCTTCTGTACAGGGCAGTGTGGGATCTGGCTCTCCCAGCTCGCCCCCTCCCTCCTCTGACTCCCCTCGGCCCTCCTCCTCACTGCTGCGGCCCATACTGAAAACAAGAGCATCAAAAATTAATCTAACATATTTTGTTATGTTTTACAGTTAAATAACGTTGGTGAAACAAACCTTAGCGAGACGTCGTAGGTTTGCGTATTGTCATAGTCACTATCTGTGCCACTGCCGTGCTTCTCCGATTTAGGCACCTACAGAAGAGAACAACAAATACTATAAATCCTGTGTAATTATCATTTTACACCATTTAAGATGACCATCCAGTCTGGACTCACCATGTATCGGCCCATCTCTGTGGTGCTGGACACATGCTGGCTTCCATAAGACACTGGTCCACCTGTGCTGCCCTTCCTCATCTGCAGACAGAGTAACAGGGGACGAGACAGAGGGACAGTGAATGGACCAAGAGAAAGGTTAGCGTGAAGGGAAAGAGGAAAGAAAAGGAACATGTTTAAAAACACTAGAAGCCATCTTGAAGGAATCAGCAGATAAACCAGAGCAGTTTGCTTCTCATACACTGCATCACGTGTCCATGCCTCTACCCAGACTCTACCCAGCCTTTACCTTTAAACAGCATTCTACACTAGCTGCGGTATCATTTCACATCAACACTAATGTTGATTCAGTGTTAGCCAATGAAGCACAAGTGATGGACAGATACAAAGATAAAATGGAAACAATGACAGACAGATGCTTACATCCAGAGGATGCACGGCGGAGCTGCAGAGCAAACAACAAAGGACAATGAGAAGACGGAGACAGAGAAACAGTGAGAAACAGGTAAAGTTTGAGGAAGACACAACGTGAAGTCGAGCTGATGTGTACAGAAGAATGTACTTCTAACATGAGGTTTGTGTATTTACACTTGTGACCAACCCTTCTGTAAAATGTCTGAGTGTATTTAAGCATCCACTATAAAAGGTCATAGATCAAAGGTAGAGCTAAGAGGAGAATCAAAGGTGTTGCTCCAGCTGTGCATTGTCTGTTTAGATCACACATACTTAAATATCATACATTTCTTTAATTATGTGCTTAAATTGTGCTCATGTTAACACTTTATTATCTTATCCTTATACTTTATTATCATGACCAACTGTTTATTGATCATTCTTTGATGGGGATGAAATGCATAACTGGAGCTTTCAAAAGAAAGAAGGCGGTCCAGCGGTTCTGAGGTGAGGAACATTCATGTGCAGAGCTGCTCAGAAGTCTGAAGCAGGAGGTAACAGGACTGTGGGGTCTAACTTACACTGGGCGAGTGCAGGGGCTGCAGGCGCGCTGACAGGGGGTCCAGGGCTGGGGGGCCGTGGGCGGTGGGTCCTGGAGCGGCCCCAGGCTCATACATAGACACAGCCTGTCTGTCTCGTCTGTGGTGGGAGTGAGGGGCCCCAGAGGAAGGCAGCCCCTGAGGTTCTGTGCTGGAGCCAAACACACTGAGAGCTGCCCCTGCTCCAGAGCGCCCCCCACTGCCAGCCCAGTGCCCTCCTCCTCCAGAACCACCAGGACCCTGCCCGCCCGACCCCCCGACCGGCTGGCCCCCCCGCAGTGAACTGTTCTCTGTCTGCATCCGCGTGATCTACAGAGAGGAGGGTGAGGTGGAGGGTGAGGGAGGGACATGGGGAGGTGTCATCTGAGGTCAAACACAAGCATCAAAACTTCACATTTACACTCAACAACAACAACATGAACAGCCCTTTGCTTTTGACACCAGTTTTCACAAAGTTAACATCTTTATTTTCTCCTATGTTCTCGATGAATAAGGCCTATTTTATTTTATATTAACTTTAGCACTGATTATAGCAAACACTATAGGCTGGACAAATTTAAGTACAGTCACGAACTGTGACTCTATATCAATATCAATTACAACAACTTATCAACGTTTAATACCTTTTATCGCTGCGTAAACTGGAATAAAAGCAAAGATCAGAATATGATGTAAAATTTTGTTGAGTGCACACAACAAACTGGGAGGGAGGACACTGAGTGGGGTTCCTGTTCAGGCTGGGTACAGGGAAAGGGAGGGCTACATTCAGTATCTGATAATATGATTACATTATTTTTTAATGGTCAGGGATTAGGGGGAGTCAGGGGATGGATGGGCACAGTTCACCTGAGTTTCAACATGTCTGTGGTTTGTGTATAAACGTCTATATACTATATAACTAAACTAAAGTGGAGCCACAACTTAAATTAATGAATGGAAAATAAAATAAAAATACTGATTGTATGAGGATGACTAACACCCAGTGGAGTTTAAATGGATGAAAACATTACATGAAAAAGTTACATTCTAGAATGAGATTATGTAATTGTCATGGGTAAATTCACAAATGTCAAATCTGATCATTTCTATTAGTGACTCACTAGACCCATGAACTGGCCTGTATCAACAAACATCTACATTTTCACGATATTATTTTAGCTGCCCTCCATTTGCAATAATAACAATATCGGGTTATACATTATTGTGATGTCATCTGAAACCCAGCTGGGTCTATTGTTAGGACTGAGGGTAAACACACTATACTGTATTACATATTCTTTCTGACATCTCCCTTCTTGGTGCCTGGGCAGTCCTCAGATGTAGCTCAAGACCAATCTATTTAGAATAGCTTTTAATGTTTAACTTAATGATCCACAGTTTTTATCTTTACTGTATTATATTTGCTTTTTGCTCTTTTGAGTGTTTTAATATGTGTCGTGTAAAGTGTCTTTGAGTGTCCTGAAAAGCGCTATATAAATAAAATGTATTATTATTTATTATTACCTCTTTCTGGAGCCGGCGCAGCTCCTCACTCAGGTTATTGTTGACCTTCATGAGCTGTTGCACTTTGGCTTCAGATGAGGCCAGGGCTTTCTTCACCTCCAGATACTCCTGCAACGTGATGGGCCCATCTGACAGGTCTGAGGAGTCCATACTCTGAACAGAAAACATACAAATGGGAGAAAGACACATCAATATTATTACAGTTAAAAATATGCCTTGTGTTTGTTTTTCTTTTTTCTTTAAAGGTCCTATATTATGCAACATTGATTAAGCCATCTTATACTGTTTCGTTTTATTCACACATGTTTGAGCAATTCCATCTTATTAATGTGCCTACATCTCCAAAGCTCAAAATGCTCTGTTTCACCTTGTGATGTCATGAAGTGGAAGTTTTCAAGTTAACAGCTACCTCTTAATTTTGTACAGTACACATGAGCAGTTCCAGAACTGAAATTATCCAAATGATTCTAGTGAAAGTGTATGAACTTTAAAAACACATTGGAGCACTTCCTGTCTCACCACATGACATCACAAGGTGGAACAGAGTGGTTTCAATCTGAGAGAAGTACACAGCCTAAATATGCATGGTTTGTGTGTTAAACATGTGTGAATGAAACAAAGCAAAACACATGTTTTTGATGAGGAAATAACATTAAATCACAAATCAGGAAATATCATAATATAGGCCCTTTAATCAGCAGCAACACTGAAACAAAATGATCAAAGTGTCAATATTCTTATCCCCCAGAATCATACTTATATTATATATTCACATGCAGGTCGTTAATAGTAATGTGGTCGAAGTTTATTGTCCAAGGACACAACAATAATATACCATGTAAATAGCAGAGATCAAACCTTGAAAGATGCACTCAATCTACAGTCCTTCTTTGGAATTAACGATTCCTTTTGTCAGTAAGGAGAGTTTGTTTAGCTGCTTTACATGTTTCATCTACTTCCTACATCCCTTTAAGTCCAGCACTAAGCGTACTGCCCTCTTGTGGCTGCATTAAAAAGTAAACTATGGCTCAGCATTAATCTTGTTTTTGCACGTGTGGTTTACATAGTGTTAGCACAGAGGATCAGAGGAAGTGTGCTGCTGACTGTTGCTGGATGTGAGTTCAGAGCTGGATACACAGACACTGAACCTCAAAGTACAAACAAACTTCCTGTGACCTGGAGCACAAGCATGAACCCCTCTGACAACCAACGCTGCAATAACAACCATCAGGGCCCTACAGACTCATAAGACCAGCACTGTAAGAATGACTACTAGGGCTCGAGTCAACTAAAGAAATTCTTGGTCGACCAAAGACATGTCCTGCCGATGGATAGACTAAAAGTGCTGATGTAGCTAAAGCTCTCAAGACTATTACAAATCTCATGTATATGACCCAAACTGCGCTCACAAGACTACACCTGCACAGGAGTTCATGGAATAGCAAGTCACTCACTTTCTCATGAGATCAATAAAGTACTTATCTATATTTTGCTGCTGTACCTTATCCAGTAAATTCTTATAATCTAAATAAAAATTAATGCATTACAATACAATACAATACAAATTTTGGCTGACTAAGGCTTGATTGACCGATTAATTGGCTAAATGACCCAAGGACTAAATAACTACAGCCCCACTGACTGTATACAGTTATAGACCTACGCAGAGATGAGAGCTATATTGAAAAATTTATAATATTGCAATTGTTGTTGTGAAAATATTCAAAATTAGAAACTTGCGTATATTGTCTATTATTAAAACAATTAAAAAAGATCACAAATAGGCAAAAGACATAGACAAAAACGCCTAGTGTAATTGCCCAAATAAGGGCATAAGTAACATTTTTACCCTTTTGTGGTTAACTTTATGGCCCATTCACATTTGTGCTCAACTGGAACCACAACCAAGACATTTTACAGGCACATTTTCGCACATTCCAGATGCATTTTTAAAATATCTTCTAAATATCAAGACCTTTTTCTCAGTGTCTCCACCCCTACACTCAGTTTTATTATAGAAGATGCTACTGCATTTCTGGAAAGAATTCTTCTGTAAGCCATGGACTTTTAGTACAGTGTTGAGTACAATGTTCCATATGAATAAATGAAAACAAGTATGCATCTAATCTGTCGTTATAGGAATAGGAATGTCAAAATTTCACATTTTTAACTTTAACTATTGAGAGAAAAAAAATATGATAATGATTTTACAGTATTACTGACACCCTTAATTCACTTTCATTAACATTATCTAATTAGATCTCCATTCCTCTAGTATGTGACCAGCTTTATGCAATAAAACTTTCTGAATAAAGTAAACATGGCATAAACATTTGCTTTTAAAATGGTCATAATTATTTGTTCTTTGTACTCACGATTGCATTGTGATTGGTAGAATCACGATTATTACCTATAAATTCACTAAACAGCGAATACTCTTGACATCCCTATAGGATTATATGGGCAACACGCTGTATTTTATGTGGGGCAGAACTTTACAAAACTTCTGAAATAGTTGATTTATGTTCTTTCTGCAGCAGTTTTCTCTTGTCTGCCTCCTCTTTCCTTCCACTGCTCCCTCCTCTCACTCTCTGAACAATGGCCTCCAAACACAGGCCCAGAATAGCTGGTGATGTCACTGAGGAGCTATGCTGCAACCCTTCATATGGCCACTCCCTGCAAAGCATGCTGGGACAGGCAGCCTCAAGAAGGAGAAAAGACAAGACCTAGAGATATTAAAGAGGAGAGGTACACTATCCATATGTCTCAGTTTTGTTAAAAGCCTAAATTCATATTATGAATGTATAATATTCAGTGTCAATTTTGATTGTTATGTTTTTTAAAATACCAGTAATGATAAAATCCCAAATATACAGCATATATATGTTCTTCTAAGCTACCCCAGTTGTGCTCAGTGTATCCAATGTGTCATGAGTAGTCAATATTGACTTAAAATAATTATACAAACAATTCAATTTATTGACCAATTATTTCTTTAAAGTTACACAGTTGCAATTTAGAGGGCCTAGCTATACAAGATGCTGATTGGCATGGCATTTGCATATATTGGCTTTAGACCCCAAAGGTAAGACAGACAGTGGTTCAATATGGATTTTTTCAGCCGATATCAAACAATCCCTAATAGAGATGGTGTTACCTTGGCACGGTTGCTGCGTTGCGTGTTGTTGTTGTTTTGTGCGGTCAGCTCACTGTCCGAGTCTTCGTCTGAAGCTACACTGTCGTAGTCGTGCTGGTCATCGTCTATGCCCAGGTCCAGAGGGTCTGACAAAGAGACACTGTGATCAGCAAAATACTGTCTGTTTGAAAGCAGTGGAGATGTCTCATAGTGTCACTACTGTTTAAAATGAAACTGACATAAACATAAAATAGTCAACACAGTGTACAATTGTGTAATATTATAAAAGCAGTGGTTCTCAAACGGTCAATTTAGTCTACTGTTCTCCTTTGATTTAGAGCTTGTTTAGTACTACAATATACCTTGTGTGGTTCTTTTTTAGTCATGGTAACCCTATTTTAGACCTAGAAGAGTCCCTTTTTTAGACCTGATTTTGATCTGGTGCTGTTCAGTGGGAAAAGTATGAAACAATGTTAAATTCTGCAACAAATTTAAGTTTTGTTTTCACTCAATAAAGAGGATGGCAGTCCCCAGACTATAATCCAAAACTAAACTAGGGTTAACCCAGATGGACCAATATAAAGCCCTGACTACAGAAGGCATATGCCAATACAAAATAACTTCAAATCAGAGTCATTATTTATTTTGTTTCTTGGCTTAATATTGCTGTATCACTGCAATACAAAAGCAAAAGGTAACACTAGGTTTTCTTAAGATGACATTTACCACATGCACTTGGCTGTGTCATGTTAAAAGTCTGACTCTCTCAACTGTTCTCCTTTTCTCTCACTCTTCCTCTCCCGTTCTCACTCTCTCCCTCTCCCTCCCCCTCCTTCCCTGCGTGCTGCTCACCGGTGGGGCTGCTGAGACCTTTTCCCTGCTGTCTCCTCTTTGCGTCACTCAGGATGTCGATGATGAGCGTTGCAAACTCTCGGGCATTGAATCGAGCCAGCTTCTGTCTGCCCTGTGAGAGAAACGAGAGAGAGAGAGAGCCAAGTTTAGATTCTCAGACCTCCAACATTACCTCACAAAAGTAGCACAGCTCTTGAACCAAAGTTTTGTCATATGCAGAACCCATTTAAGCCCACACTCAGAGCAGTTTGGTGCCTTTGAGGCGACTGTGGTCAGTGGAAAAACCCAGTCAGAGGAACAAAACACTTAAAACTCTGTTTTGGTGAATGTAGCCTCGTAAATTGTATAATTACATAAGCACAAAGGCGTGAAGGAAAATGTAAACTTTAACTATAACAAAGCACTATTTCATTCACAAGAAACTCATAGACCTATGGTCATTCTTACAGACTGATTCCAATCATTCAGTCCTGCTTGTGGTAAACTAAGTCAATGAAGCATTAGCAGACATTGCTTTTAGTTTGTTACAAACTGTTTCTTTTTCACAGTCAGCTGATGGAGACAAGTACTACCTGCTGGCATTTATACAATTCTATCACTTAATTTGCAGAGGCCTGCAGGTATACACATATACTACTGCTGCTACTACTACTACTGCTACTACTATTACAACTACTACTGGGAGAACAGGACATTCCAAGACATAATATCTGCCTTTTAAGAGTTTTAACAGTTGTGTCTACTGTCATCAACACTCAGCAGTAGTCATCACAGTGAATTGTCCAAGTAGTTCTGGGACAACAACTTTAGTCTCATGATTATTTAAAATTATATATTACATCATCCTTTTTCTTTTCAATTAATCTATTCAAATAAATTCAGTCTTTAACACACTGGACCATTTGATTCACAAGAAACTACAGCAAAGAGTTAAAGGTCTCCCCTGCTATAAATAGGCGGCAGTAGTTGACCACAGCGGACTGTCCAATCAGGGAAGAGTAAACGTAGCCACATGTGCATTTTTCCTGTTAGCCCATGTCAAACAGTAACCGCTTACACTACTGAGCTACACAGCTGGAAAGAACATATTCAAGACACGGCTCTCTGCCCACTAGATAAACAAAGGACCGTGGCAGGCAAACGTAAACGGGTTACAACTTTCCACTAATAAAATAATTCTTATGTAGTAGTGTCAAAAGTATCGAAAATCTGATACTAATCGATACTAAAACTAGTATCGAAACTAGATTATTTGAGAAAGTATTAATATTGAAAAAAATCACAAAGTGGAAAAAAATCAAACCTTTCTTGAACAGTTCTTTATTAAGTTTTAGCAGAACTAGTCTAATAAAACTGAGTTTAAAATCCTGGTATTATGACAACACAACTCCTACCACTCCTCTTATTCATTGAAACACCATCACAACAGACCTTGCGGACATGTACTTCTTACTTTAATTGTGTAACTGTTGGCAACCGTGACAAGTAAAAACCTGTAGTGTTTCTTTAAGGAGGCTTACCTGGTTACGTGTGGCGGAGTACTCGGGGTTGACTGGTAGAAATGGTACTGCACTGCGTTCTGTTACCAAAGTGCTGTGGTTTTGGGTGGTGAGCCAAACTATATAGAAAGAGAAAAAAAGAAAAAACTGAAAAATGTGTGAGGATTAATTAGCCAAAAGTGCTTATTCATAGCAAAATTACACAACTTTTAAAATGTATCTTGTGAGTGAAAACAATCTTTAAACAATCTCATTTAAATATTGGTTAACTAGTGTGAGTAATAAGTTAGTACTTTTATTACAAATTTTGTGCAGACAGACCTTACCTGTGGATCTTCTGTCATGAATGAGAACTATTTCAATACTTGTTACAGAACAGGAGCAAAGGAAAAAGACCCAAATAAAGCAACAGAGATTGAAGGAGGAGGAGAGAAGCACATTTTAGGCACATCCTCCACCTCTCCTCCCTCCTCCCTCCATCCAATCCTCTCCCCAAACCACGGCTGCCTTTTTTAGTATCTCTTGTGGAGTAAGAGATCTTTTATGGAAGTCCCTCCTAAGCTCAGAGGATAAGTAAAGTCTCAAAGGTAAATGAAGGTTTACCTGCATCATTTTCTCTGCGGTCCACCTCGTCATACACGTCCATGGCCAACTCCTCAAAAAGACGGTTGTTAAGCTGCCAAAACAGAGGAACAAATCCCTTTAACAATGTATTCTATACTCAACATTGTATTAAAATTGTGGTGAATAATGTACAGAATCTCAGTTGTATTTTTTTCCTGTCAGATCTAATCTTTCAAATGTATTTTCAGGGAGCATTTGGTCAGTGACATTGCATCTACCCTTTAAATGTCAAATGGAACATGACTGTCCTTTTTTGGGGAAGGTTATAATTAAAATTACTTGTTTTTTACTTTGTTTTAATGCATCTTTCCTGCTATATAAAGCACTGTGATTTACTCGAATTACTGAATATATACTTGCCATCCCTTTTGCATTTTGTCAGGATAATATAAATACAGAAGACCTTTAAATTGTCTGTTTGATATGACAGTTAGAGCCACTGAATAGCATTGAACTATTTGGAACAGTATGAGTGGTTTTCTTACCGCCTGTAGCTTCTTTTTGGCAGCCTTGGCCAGTTCTGAGAGGTCCAGGCTAAAAGACAAAAATAAAATCTGTCAGAAGTGTCCCACCAGGGGATAGTGAAAGAGAGTTAGATGGTCTGGTGGGGTTTAGAACAGAGAGTAGATAAAACTACCGGAAAAATCAATGCTTGTAATTCTTTACTTTGGGGAAGATTGGTTAGCGAGAGAATAAATAATACTGTTTGGATTTACAAGGTACACATTGGTAACATTACAATAATATATATATTAGAAAACCCCATAGATATCTTATTAGATACCTATATTATTGTGTTAGTCTTCATTTACGACTACTTTATTGTTGTGGTTTGTCCCATTTCAGACCTGGATTAGAACAGCGAGCTTAGAATGGGTTTAGTACAGTTATAGATCTGGTTTAGATCTGGTGGTCCTCTGAAAGCCAAATATAATGCAGTAACTATGGGCCTTGGGTGGGGTCTCTTCATTAACAATGGCAATCATCACAATAACTCACTTAGACGATATTCCTATTAGATTCAATAACTATGTTTTGTATTGTCATAATGATATTATGACCATGTTTTAATAAACTTTTTGACACAGATAAGTTTTTTAAAAAATGCACATACCTACTAGTCAAACTTGGTTAAAATAAAAACTTTACAGACTCAATAGAGAAACCAAGTCCAATGCAGAATTGACATTGATAATAAGGAAATCACAAATAAAATAAATTAAAATAAATAAAATTGGCCTTTTTGTCAATTTCACTTTCCAAAAACAGTACACTTCTGTAAAACTATGTTGAAGTGATTATTTTATTGTAGTATTGATTATTGTGTCAGCAAATATTGCAATATAGTGTGCCGTCCTAATTCATATATATATATATATATATATATATATATATATATATATATATATATATATATATATATATATATATATATATATATATATATATATATATATATATATATATATATATATATAATTGTGTTTTTGGTTGGATATAAAGTTTGTTGGAAAAGGAAAATTCTGTATATTTTGTTTTAGACCCACTTTGGACCTCCATAAAACCTTTTTTAGCAAATTATACAATACTTGTTTGTTTTTATACTAGAAAATCTGTGTTTTTCTCCAGAGCGAAAGAGCCTCAGGTTGCGTAGAATGTTTATTGCAAAAGAGAAAAAAAAAATCAATATAGTAATAATAAAAAGTAGGTGCTGTTAGATTTCAAAAACATGAGGGAAGAATGAAGGAAAGTGAAGATACCTCTGTGTGGGACACTTGGGACGAGCTCTGATCCACCAAGCGCAGCAAAATGGAGAGAACAGAAACTCAGTGAGAAAAATAGGAGAGGAACAGGGATAGGAAAGCCACAACAAATCCACCGTAATTGTTATTCTCAAGCAGTATCATAACCAGAGTTAAAAGAGATGCAAGTTGTGTCAGACGACAAGCCCAGATGTGCAAACAAGTTGAGTGAGGTGCTGTCATTTGGGTCATTTATATGCACTACACGATCTTTTTAAGCTATTCGTGCTCATAGATGAAGCTATCAAAATCTCTAAAGAGCTGAGCCAAGTAAAGCTGATTTATTCAAGTCTGTCTGTGCAGTTTTCAAAGTTTTATTTTAAGTTTGCATCCTTAAAAGTACCCTATGTAACTTTTCTGGTGGAGTGTTTGTTTTCATGGAGATGCTATAAATTGGCCTAGAATGTTCCACTGTATGGCAATAAACTCATCTATCTTGATGGAGAAAAACAGGTGGCACCTCTAGGCCAAGTCACAGGCAACCACGTTCACAGTGCCTGTTTTTTTAGGTGTTTTTTGAGCAAAAAGTATGTGAGTAAATGCAAGATATATTACTTTAATGCCATACTGTGGACCATTCCAGCAAATTTAGATATTATCTCCATAAGAAAAGTAGATGATGGTCTCTCCACCAGAAAACTTACATAGTACACATTATATTCAAAACCTGATAAATTAAGTAAATCAAGATTATACCTATGCTATTAACTTATAGATTAAACAGATTGGAATTTCAGTCATGTGTTTTGTAGGGGAGCATAATTTGGTGACACCCTATGGTCAAAGAAATAAACTGCAATTAGGGGTCCTTTTTAACTTGTGTGAGTCAAGAAACAGCAGAATGAGGCTAAAACAGTACGGAAAGTGATACACAAGTCAATCCATGCACTACAGCCTTACATAGAATATTCAAAAACTCAAGCGTTTACCTGTCTGCCATTTGGGGAATGATATAATGTCCATTTTTGTGATCTGCAAGAGAACGAACATTTTTTTATATATATCAGAGACAGTAATATGTCAGTGAAAGGAAAGCTGAGAGACTCACCTGGACGCCGGCCGCAGAGGTAAAAAGCTAACCTGTCCGTCAGCTCATACTGGCACTCCACCAACCGCTCTGCCAAGTCTATATTACCCGCCTGCCTACAAAAATTACACATTTATATTAATACAGTGTTTTATCAATAATACAGTATTATTAATATTATTGTTTAATACAGGAAACTACAGTGTCCCCTCCATAGTCTAAAATAATCCAGACTATATACTGGCATAACAAAATTAGATTTTGTTGCTCATTGTTTTATCATAAACATATTAAAGAAAACACATTTGCCAAAATACTTATATAGCAATATTTATATCTTACAAATACAGTCCCTGACAAAAGTCTTGTCGCGTATCCATTTTGTAGAAACAAAAGCTTATAACCTGACTTTAAATTAATCGATTGGTTTTAGAAATGTCTCATATGAAAGCAAAAACCCTCCCAAATTATGCTCAATATACTAAAATAAATTTACTTCACTGAAGAGAGATTGATCATTTAATGAACACAGAAAGGTCAGATTTTGGCAAGACAAAAGTTCTGTCGCCTTGTCATATGATGCACCCAATCCTAGATTACAGCCTCACCTGTGATCAGTTACTGATCAATCAATTAGTGGGTGTGTATAAAAAGAACCCCAGCACACCAGACCTTCACATCACCTGCAACTTGACCTCTGACAACATGCCTAAGATCCACCCTGAGACCAAAGCGTTAATTATCAAGAGGCTGAAGACCAGATCCACTGCTGAGGTGGCTGACACCTTCAATGTGTCTCAGCGTCAAGTACAAAGAATAAGAAAAAGATCTGAAATGACTGGAGATGTTTTTGACAAGCCCAGGTCCGGCAGACACCGCAAGACAACTGCTTGGGAGGACAGTTTGTTGATTCGAAAATCCAAGGCCAGCCCCTTTTCCACTGCAGCAGAGCTCCACCAGGCCTGGTCACCTCAAGTCCCTGTGTCAACCACAACAGTTTGTAGAATTCTGTCTCGAAATGGCCTCCATGGTCGAATCAGTGCACAGAAACCAGCACTAAACAAAAGGCAATTAAAAAAAAGTGTGGCATTTGCCAAGGCCCACAGCCTGCTAAAAGGATGGACACTGGAAAAGTGGCAGAAGGTGGATTTCTCAGATGAATCCTAGGTTGAATTACATCACAGCTGCCGCAAATATTGCAGGAGACCTACTGGAGCCAGCATGGATCCAAGATTCACTCAGAAAACGGTTAAGTTTGGTGGCGGAAAAATCATGGTCTGTGGTTCCATCCAGTATGGGGGTGTGCGAGACATTTGCAGGGTGGAAGGCAATATCAATAGCCTAAAATATCAAGAAGTATTAGCTACCTCTTACATTCCCAACCATAAAAGGGGTCAAATTTTGCAGCAGAATGGTGCTCCATCGCATACTTCTATCTCTACATCAAAGCTTCTCAAGGTGAAGAAGATCAAGGTGGTCCAGGACTGGCCAGCCCAGTCACCAGACATGAACATCATTGAGCATGTCTGGGGTAGAATGAAAGAGGAAGCATGGAAGGCAAAACCAAAGAATCTTGATGAACTCTGGGAGGCATGTAAGACGCTTTCTTTGCTATTCCTGATGACTTCATCAACAAATTGTATGAATCATTGTCGAACCGCATGGATGCAGTCCTTCAAGCTCATGGAAGTCATACAAGATATTAAATATGGATCTCACAGCACCACTACTTAATTCACTGACGTTATGCAACATATTTTTGTATTTGAAGTAAATTATTTGTTCAATTTTCTGTAGGCGACAAAACTTTTGTCTTGCCAAAATCTGACCTTTCTGTGTTCATTAAATGATCAATCTTTCTTCAGTGAAGCAAATTTATTTTAGTATATTGAGCATAATTTGGGAGGGTTTTAGCTTTCATATGAGACATTTCTAAAACCAATCGATTAATTTAAAGTCAGGTTATAAGCTTTTGTTTTTACAAAATGGATAAGCGACAAGACTTTTGTCGGGGACTACAGGATTATGTTGAGAAAAACATAACAGTGATGGTTTTGGTCAGAACTGAGAGTTATTTGAAACAATTACTTATGTACTGTCAAATGGTCAATGGTCAATGTAATCCCTCATTCGTCCAGGAGGGGACCAGAAAGCTGAAAATCATGATTTCTAATATTTAGAGGCAGTATTGATACATTCTTCTCTGTGAGTCATGTTCTGTGATTCAGATTTTAGAGCCACTGTGAGTTGCTGGATAAGACACTATGCTCAAAGGTTAATAGGGAACAAGCACTCTTATCATTTAGACTGATTAAGCCATAATAACAATCACACACACACAATCACACAATTAAAATTTAACCCCTATGACTCAGTTGTACATTAAAGGTTCCATACTGTGCAAAAAAATTGTATAATATGCGCCTTTTAATGCCATCATATTTCTCACAGATTTGACTTGTACCTAGCATAGTCCATAGGTGTGCGTCCATTGATATCCGGTGCCCCTGGGTCTGCTCCATACACCACGAGCAGCTCCGCCTGTAGGATTTGGCCTGCTTTAGCTGCCACATGGAGGGGGGTGGTGCCTTTTTCCTGCAAGGTCAAACCCTCACACGTCACAATAGTTCCTGACACAGTGGGAAGCCTGAACACTTAATAACACAGTTTGAAGTGACTTTGTAATAGGGCAACAACTAAATTTTGACTAGTCAGCGATTCATTTTTTGATTAGTCAAGTAGTCAAGACTTTTTAAATACATCATCAAAGAAATAAAAGGCTGAAATATGATGACTGTAGGCTTCTAATAAGATAATATCTATAATTACAGAATAAAGATGAAAATATGTTTGAGTCTTTTATATTTTTGATTTAGTAATGCCACTGTCTATTAGGGCAGGGAAAATCTTGTTTGACTAAAGATATGCCCTGTTGATAGATTAGTCGACTAAAAAAATGGGCATGGCAAAAGCTCTCATAACCATTTCTGTATCTGACCCCAGCTGCACTCACAAGGCTGCACCTGCACATGAAGTTCATGCAAGAACAGCTATTTATGCAGAAAAAAGTACAAGGAAATAATGTATTTATATAAAGACAAATTAAACTTCTAAATCTGCCTTTTTACATAATATATACCAAAAAATACAAAACTTCAACTGAGCTCACACACTAACTTGTCCTTTCTGCTGTTGTCCCATATAAATCCTTATAATCTAAGCCTAAAACATCATGACCGATTACTTGAATGAGCGACAAAAAGTCTTTTCATATTTCCGTTTTTAGAAACAGAATAGTCCAGATCACAATTATGCTTACCAAAATATGACAATGATTATTTTATATAGTCAACTAGTCACAATTACTTTTGGATATTTAGGGTTTATTTATGTACTTAGCACTGACCGGATGAAAGAAGTTGGCCTGGGCACCGAGGGATAGTAGCCGGAGACACGTTTCCAAACTGCCTGTTCGCACACTGGAGTGAAGTTGCTAAAAAGAAACAAAAGAGAAAGAGGCAAATGAGAAAGACGTGGGTGGGGAGATAAAAGTTGCACCCAGAGACACTGAATAGGCTGAATCCTCTTATTAGGCACAGTGGAGCTCCATGTTACACAGATAATTATTACATCCTGCTGCATCATTCAAAACACTTCCTGCTAAGAGGATTGTTCTGATGATGAAGGAGAATGAGACCAATTCCTCTGACAATTTTAGAGCCAGTATTTAAATGCAACAGTATGTGATATAGGTTTATAATAAGAGGTTTAATGTCGGTCTAATATAAAGCTCGCTGATAATATAAATTATGCTAAGAATTTTATAGAGAAGAATTAGTTTCAAATATTGCCAGAACAGTGCTGTGGACGACATATTGATCTAAAGCTAAATTAAATCTATCTGTACATTTAATTGCGTTTATTCATCTTCTTGACTAATACAGTGATTTGTTAGTCTCATAAGCAAGTTTTAATACGCTGGTCTTTCACAAAACTATGGACACAGTTAATCTGATTGTGTGATTTACAACAGACTGTATATTAACACAAGACTGAAAAGAAAATGCCGCTCACTTTACTGAGGTCTTTGGTGGTGACACCGTCGTCGTCGCGGCAGGGGAGCTTGTGCACAAACGCCAACATCTGGTATTTGGCTCGGATGAACTCGGACTTCGTGGGGCTGTGAAGACGACAATGAAAGTGATAAAGAGAAGTACATCATAAAAACCGTGTTTCTACAAAGGCCCTTAGAATAACTGCACTCTTAAGAGTCCATAGGGCAATAAAAGGAAAATGAGCTCAATTGTGCATTGGAACAAAGACATTATGTTAATACATAAATAGCAAAACTCTTTCCATACAAAATAGCCAATAACTCCTGCTTATATGAGGAGCAATACTTTCAGTAGCTCAGTGTATACTCACTGGACTTTGTCCTGGGGGTTGGGTTTCCTGCGACCGCTCTGGACCTGAGCAGGGTCCAGGAGACTGTGCTCCCAAATGGAGTTAGCTCCATTACAGGCCAATGTCTGGACCATCTGTGAAAGCACAATGGTGATGGGTTTATTTCATCAGGCATTTATTGAACATAACATCAGTTATGGCAGGGCAGCACAACATGAGAAAACAAGCAAGCTTTGCTGATGTGAATGTAATTTTAGAGGCTTTGGTCAAATTTAGAAATTCACACATCTGGACAGGTCACACTGGAGTCACTTCTTTTTGCTTCATGGAATCTTCTGCAGTTTCCACAAGACGATTGTATCACATTCTTTTGTAAGCAAGCATTTGTAAGCAAGTTAGAGTGGACTGCTTGCTAAGTTTACCAACCCAGCAATTTGGTCTCAACAATGCTCGCGGAGGCCAATTACAGTATGCAAAACAAAGATGAAGAGGACCACAGTTGCTGAGAATAGCATCCACATTGTAACAACGACAGAAAAGACTGCAGGTAGAGTCAAAGGAAAAAAAAACATTTGCATTTTCTTCGCTGAGTCGGTTTTGTGCTAATGTTTACCTTAGGCAGTGCACACACAATCTCATCTAATGCATTGTTTTAGAGACAGTGCTGGCATGTTTCTCCTGACTCACCTGCAACAGCGTGGGGGGCCATCCGCTGTGCCTCAGGTGCTTCACAATGGAAATGTGCCGACCCAAACTGCGGTGCACCGAGCAGCACTCATCACAGATCAGCACGCCGCGGTTTATGCTGGTCCAGCCGGGATCTAAAACAGAGCACAAAATCATAGTACTTGGAATAAAGGATCATATTGAATTTTATATGAACTCATTATAAAATGTTGGTGGTGTGTATATGTGATTGTTTGAAATCAGTACACAGATTTTTCCTCGTATTCATTGATCTCGAGTCTTGATGTTAAATAAAGCATAATTATTGCATATGTACAAAAAAAAATATTATGTAGTAAATATGTCTCGGCTACATACAAGAGGTCGTAAGGAGAAAGAATGCGAAGATTAACACATTTACCTTTTCTTTTCAGAACAAAATATAAATGTATGTATGTATAATTTTAAATATATATATAAAACCCAAAAATAGCAAAATTTCTTCCTCTAAAGTACAAACTCTGCTCCAAAGAAACACATGCTTTTACTGACAGAGGTTTGGATGTAGATCTCTCGATTAAAAAGACTGATTAACAACAATTAGACATGACTGAATTTCAATTGACTGCCAACTGTGCCAAGGCCTATTTTCTGTGTAATTTCAATTTTCTTAAGTAGAACAGCAGAGAAGCTAATTTACTTTCAACAAACATCAGGCAAAGTGTTCAGCATGACCTCACATTACAGCTAATTTCCTAAATTCAAGTTTCCCCCATACCTAAACAAAATTTCACAAAATTTTCATAATCAATTTGTCTCCACAGAAATGTAATTACTCTGTAATATTCCACATTAAACTTTAAACCTATTGATTACAAGGGAGACAAGCAGGTTACAGCACCACGTTACATTACAGTTCAGATCTGTAGAGAGTTGCCCTTATTCACAGAGAGAATTATTGTATTTTTGAGCAATACAAACAATCATAATGAATAAATGCTAGATGAACAGAGACAAGTAGATAGAGGACCCTACGCCAGAAAAGTTGCGCAGTGCAACCTTTGACCCTGGGTAACCCCATGAACTATTATTTATATTATGACTGAAACCCCATGTGCTTTAACTGTTCTCTGTAAGCATTTAGGCTTGTGATTTGTAATGACCCAAATATTTATTTTAGCACTGCAAAGATGTGTCAGCAGATTCATAAACAAAACATGGATTGACTTCAGACTGGCTGTTTGGCTGTAGTCACCATAAATAAAAAGAAGGCCTGGTGGTTTTAGTGTAGCTGCTAATTATTTCCCTCTCTGAATGATATGGGGAGAAGATAATTACAATCGCAAGTCTTTTGTTTGTTGAGACAATACACAGTGCAACTGCAAGCAAAATGATGTTTGGGCAAATTCATTTTCTGAAGTTACGTTTTAATTTGATCGTCAGAAATCTCATCTGGCTCCAATGTGCCCCTTGTTAATCATTAATGGATTATTTGTTGTCAGGAAATCAGGAGTCCCAAGTTGGATAATAATAATACTAGGTGCTTTGGGTACAATTAAGCACGGTATTGCAAAAAACGTTATTTTTCAATGCACAACTCTGACCATAAATGTCTTTGTGGATATAAACTAAGTTAAATGACCAAAATGAGTTAGCTGTAATGACTGGATGGCTGCAAAGTACCAAAAGTGTTTGTTTACCAAAACTTGAGAAGTCTACAGTGGCCCAACTTCTAATCTAATTTTCAGTCAGTAAGCGAACGAACTGAGACAAAAGATATGTTGCTGTTTGCTGATGGGGTGATAACAGAGCTGTGTGACATTAAAAAACAGTAATGATTGATCGACCTTATTTTGTATCATTAAATTATTTTCTCAAAATATACAATACAGACACAAAATATCCAAATTTCTTTCTTCATTGTCTGAACTCTGCTTCAAAACACACGCTTTTTCTGACTGAGGACTGACTGTAGACCTGTTGAAAAAAAACACCAAGTTGATCACTGATGACTGAAAATGAATCCCAAGCTGGATTATAAGAAGTTGTCATCTACTTCAACTGATAATTTTGCTTATTTGCCGTGAGTGACCTTCAGTATAATACACTGAAAAGGACAAAGCTCAGAGGACAGAGCTGGAGTGAACACTGTTGACACACTGAGACAAGGGCAGACACAAGTCACCAGTCCAGTGCAGGTCATGTTTACGCCCGGAGGACCTGATGAACCATGAATGATGCAAATACATGTGGCACACACAACTACACACACACACACCAATCTACGATATGGCTTGCCTTAACTCAGAGGCTGGGATAAACGGCCCAGGCTTAGGGTATTAATGCAATATATTAATGTAATAAATCTAAAATAACCCAGTTAGAGACAGTCGACTTTGGATGAACAAAAAAGACATTCTGACAAAATTCAAGACCTTAAAACTATTCGGAAAACTATTATCTAGTTTTGATACCTGTGTTAGACTATAAAAATACAAATTTGCATAAATCAACAACAACAATAACAAGATACATTTGCAGCATTTTCAGACAGTTTATACTCAGTTAATTCAAATGTTTTATATCTTCAAAACAACATCCACAATATTATCGATAGTTGATATATTACCCATCCCTAATGTGTATTGATTTTTTTGACAACACTAGTTTTGAATGGTAAAAAAATCCAGGCTCCAGTATAATCTAATTCCTTCTGTGTAGAGTAAATGCTAAGTAAGCCCAGAGGGTATGAAATCTACTTGGCTCAATTTAAAAAGAAAATTAAGCTATATACTTAAAGAGACTCCAGCCAAATGTTAGGTCCAAATCTGCACCAAGACTGACTTGACTTCATTACACTACAACAGTAAACATAATCTTTATGTACTAGTTATTTGTTTTTATAGCTGCACTAAAGTCTGTTGAATAGAACCACTAGATAAAACGGCCGCGAACCAACCACCAAATGAATCAAACTCCAGCTCCAAACACTGAGTATCATTGTACAGACGTAATGGAAAGAGCATAGCATTTAACAATATATGACCAGAGGCTACAGCTCCTAATACCAGTGCATGGGTGTCTAATAAAGACATGACAACGTGATATATTGTTGCTGTAAACTATGCAGATTGCCATGGTATAAAATTAAAACGTCTGGACTCAAAAGTTGTTAATTGTCCTTTGTAGCAATGACATCAAGCCCCTTTCTTGTATTAAGTCACAGACAGTGGGTAGTGGTACAGAGGACTGGGGAGGGGGCTGTCACCAGTGGCTAGCTCAGCATTTTACAGAAAGCAGTACGTGTGTGAGCTTGTCTACTGAGGTGGGGTTTAAAGCAGAGATGAAAGCAATAGGAAAAGCATTTAACCTGTAAACTGTGGCTTTGGTTTACATAAACAATATAAGTAAGGGCTTGTGAAAGGATTATAATCTGCATTTAAAAACACAGATTTAATCAGATAAAGATAAATAATATGATGACTGAAGGCTTTAATAAATATTTACAAATAAACAGTATTATCCATTAAATTAATTAATAGTTAACTTGTTATAACAGGGTGCAAGAAAAGGCTAGCCTTCATGTAGATCTACTTAACTGTTCAGCCTTTAATGTTTCACAGTAAGGCATTAAACTTATCTATCTCCATGGAGGCAGGCAGCCAAGGTACAGAACACTTTGGTGGCGAGGCGGGGCCAGTCTCATAAGAATGCATGTTCTTAAAGGTATTTCTGGACAATAAAATCACCTCTAATGAAACTCAACAGACTTTTAATGCCATACTGTTTAGCATACAAGCAATGCAATGACATCTCCCTCAAGAAAAAAGTGGTGTAACCTGTACCAGAAAAGTTACACAATGCACCTTTAATAATGCCACTATTTTTGTCATAAAACATCTTGTGGCGCAGGTTTACAATTGCATAACAGGATTATTTTAATAGTGGACTAGTCCTAGTTTTATGTAATAATTGACAAGGTTAGAGAAGGTAACAGGCAGGGACACATACACTACAAACTGCTGCCATATTGTAAGAAGAAGTATTTCTGATTGTCAACTATGCCATGATTTACACTGCTGGCTTGCACCAAGGAGTTAAGGCTGGGAGCAGTTGTGAAGAGCAGCTGTTTGACTAAATATGAGGGCTGTTACAATGAAAGTTTCAGAAATATGAACTGCTGTCACACAAAAATTATCTGGAGGGCATTTGGGGAGAATCAAGGTTGCTTAACATGAGTTCTTCAAACAAAAAAACAAAAAACTAACTTGTGCTGGATTAATTTGGTGTAAATTGACAGGAACTGATTAAATGTCTTTGTAACTTTGGACGCAAGTGACTCATTTATTTTAATATGTGGTTAAAGCACAATTGTTAACTAAATAAATGTGCTGTTGTTATCCTTAAACTATACAATCATACTATACAGTGAAGACAAAAGCAGCTGACACTTTAGCTGACGATTTAGCAGTAACTTATGTAGCCAAAGTTAGCTAGACGAGCTAACGTCGCGGCTAAGTTAGCAATGTGAGTCAGGAAACCGACAAAACTGTAAAACAGGGATGTGGGTGCCAGCAGAGGGAATTATGCATGAAATGAGTCTGTGCAGGGCCAAATCTGACAGGCCCTAAGTCGTATATGGAACAACAATTCGGAAACCATCTCATTCGATCACCTAGCCGGCTATGCTAATCTGAAGTCCCCCAGTCACAAAAATCAAAACAAACGTCTTGGCGAGAAGAAGCCAACACTATTTTGGCACTCGGCTCTTTAACGGAGGCTGCTCCTGAAACAATACGCACATAAGCAACTAGCTCTGTAAACTGCAACATGCTCGGACTGAACTACTCCAACATAAGCGCATTTCCGTTCTGATTTCACGTCTGTTCTCAGTAGTTATTTGGGGCCTACGCGCCGCCGCTGGGGAATCCTGGCCGCTTTCCTGATTCTCAGACCCCCTGACAGTGACAGGAGGCTGGGCCCAGTCCCACCAGCCCTCCGTGTCCAAGTATTGTTCCAGTGCATCGGTCCGTTTCCTTTTATTGCAAATGCCCTACCTGGCGCACTGCAGTCGGCGCAGATTTCAGTCCTTTGCAGCTTTCTTGACATTTTGAAAGCGTCCGAAAGGACTATCAGCGGAGGCGGTGATGATGGGTGTCTTCGCCCTATTCCCTGGTGCTACCGCCGTGTGTCTTCAGCCGCTGCGGCCCCTCAGTCCCCGGAAGCCGGCTGCAGTGTGGTCGGCTGTCCCGGCCAGCCCACAGCCCCAGATCAGTTTCCCGTTGTCCGCCTCCACTCTTCTGGTTCACGTTTCAACCCAAAGCTTGATGCCAAGTTACTGGAGCGTAATGACTGTGTGTTAAGGCTGTGGGCTGCGTGAGGATCATAGCGGACCTCTGATGCGTCTGAGGCTGCACTAACACCTTCTGACCGGGAGACGGCAGCTCTCTCCCGGTGTGCGCCTCATCACCGGCCCCAGCGGCACAGAGGGTCCAGAGGAGAGAGGCTGACAGACAGAGCTCCAGGAGCAGTGAACAAAAACACCCATGGAGCTCATCAGCACTTACCACTCTTAAAGTTATTATAACAGTGTAAATTTAGATTTAATGTTTCAACTTAGACTTAGACTTAAAAAACGTAGAAAAATTAGACTATCTTCCAGATTTGAGCTAGCCTAAACATGTTCAAATCTAGCTTTTACTGATAACAATCCTAATGCTGATTTATTCTTAACTACAAAACCATTGCACATGATGTCCCATTTATTTATAATTTGATGTAATAATAAAAATGTAATAATTTGTGTCCTAAAGTTGATTATCCAATCAGAAGGAACGAGCCTCACATGAGTCTCTCATTTGGGTTGTCAGATCCAGTGCTGAAATCCAGTTGGTTTAAACCTAAAAAGATCTGAAGTCCCCGAACTTTCACATGAGATCTGATACCTGGTATACTCAGTAAAAAGTGTCTAGTGCCCAAACCTCCTTGTCAAAGCCTGATGTCGCCAGATTTCAGGAACACTGGCCTATAGCCTACCTTTTTTTCTTCAAAATTGTGCCTGGCCTATTCGTTTGCAGCCACTGCAAGCCCGAAAGTAGGCTACAGTTTGTCCTAATATGAAGTCACAAAAGTAGTAGATGTACAGCCTTAGATAATTGGCCAAAACTTCTTCAGCCATTGAAGCCTGTTCCTTGTCATCAATTCAGTCCATACGGAAGTCCATTATCCCACATTGCTTTTTGCTTATTGTAGAAGCGACCAACGTTAAACTGAGGGTGCGCACACTTCATGTCATCGCATCTCAACACCGGATGCGAGAGAGGAGGAGAGATGCTGGAGTCAGAGCGACCAGTAGGAGATCGGACTGGACACGAACACAGCGTGCAGGCTCGCGTCCTCTGAAGGCAGACAGACACAACAGGCTTTTCTCTCCGCCCGCGGCTCACAGACGGATTATCTTTAGTTGTTATATTGCAGAGCGAGAGCTGTTCTCGAGCGCGCAAGGCTCTACCCATACGCCTCTGGATATGTCGCCGTGGGAGAATGGTGATGGAGATTTTAGCATGAACTGATACGAAAACTATTCCCAAAAATCCACGACGAAGGAAAGGGAGGAGGCAAACTATGATCCGATGATGATTTCTGCCAAGAAAACTCCAGAGAAGTGTCGTTATCCGGTCCACTATTTGGTGTGGCACAACAAGCATCGGCAGCTGGAGAAGGAGCTGGCGAGCAACGAACAGGTACGAGAACAGCATAAGATATAGGCCTGTTTTATTAGTATTACACAGGTATTTTAATATAGGCCTATAGTATATGCATAAACAATATATGCTGGTGTCTGTGTTCACTTCAACACTGAATAGCACAGTTAAATATGAAGGAGTGTGGGACCAGATCAAATCATGTAGTGCAGTCTAGTAATATTTTACATTATGGTGAATTAAATGGCCTACACTATCAGGTTATTTGTACATTTTACATAAGCTATAACTTATTATCATTCCTTCTATCATCATTATGCCCCTTTTCGTCTCATAAATGCCATATACACCTGTTGTCTTATTCCCTAGACAGGCTGCAGCTGAATTTTCATTTTGAATAGAAAATAAGTTTTGGCGTTGGCATTGTCTTATAGACTGATACAACTGTTGAATACAGACATGACTATATGCATTGTCTAATTTTGTTTGATAATTAGTCTCCTATCTTATTTATGCTTACCACTTTTTTTCCTATGTTTTTTTTTTTTTTTTTTTTTTTTCATATAACTGCAGTGTGCACTCCATGTCTGAGGTATTGATGAGGCCTTAAAGCTGCACTGTGTAACTTTCCTGATGGAGGGTGAAACCAACTGCTTGTTTCCGTAGAGATGTCTTTGTTTTGCCTGGAATTTTCTACAGCAAGGCATTAAACATATTAAACATTCTACAGCAAGGCATTAAACATATACATTTCCAAAGAAGCAAGCAACTGATGCTACAGGGTCAAGTTACAGGTCAGATCTACGGAGAGGCGACTACAATGATAATAAGAATGTCTGTTTTTAAGGTATTTTTGAGCAATAAAAAGACTTGTAATTCACTTAACACAAGACATATGTTTTATGGCATAATGCAGAACACTCCAAACCAAGCAGTAACATCTCCATGGAAACAATTAGGTGGCGGACTTTTTACCTGAAAAGTTGCATAGTGCATCTTTAAAAGTGTCATAGGTAAGGCTCTTGTGCAAAGTCAGTCACTCATTGTAGCAGCCGCAGCAGTGTACAGTAGTGCTGCCCACTCACTGATGTGGGATGTGCAGCTTTCCACAGTGAAGTGTGAGTGGGAGAGACAATGCAGATACTGTGGTTTATGTGGGTGACGAGTATGCTTCCAATCACCACTATACATAAAGTTATTGTTGTGAACCAAAAGAGAAAAACTGAAGAGTTAATTTGCAAAAACAAAGCACCAGTTTAAAAAGTCATCGGAGGCGTACTGTTTACTCTTTGTAAAGAAATGTATTTTACTGCTATCTAAATATTATTCCATCCCTTCTTGATAAAAACACAATATCTGTAGAAGATAGCTGAGTTTGTCTTCAAATACTTTATATAATTGAATTAGTAAAATATTTGTGTTTGTTGTCTGTCATTTGTGAAATAGATAAGGGACTGAATTCAAAATAATGTAATCATTTAGTGCAATTAAAACTTTATTGCCTATTTGGTCAGTAAAGGCATAAGCTACTTATTGCAATAACATACACTAGATCTACGAGTGTCCCCCACCACAATCTGTCTGTACATTGAACAAAGTAGGCTAACATCCCTATTGTGTTTGTTCAGAGCAAACAAAATATGTTAGTTTTACAAGCACTCACAGGTATGCAAAATGATTTTTTTTAAAGAAAGTCACATCAATTTTTCAGGAACTACTGCTTCTGTAAATATTTCATGATGCAAATTTTACTGACCATCGGATAGCTAACGTCTTTGTTTTCCGTATCCATGAGTTTCACAGTGATGGAAAATTAGCAGTTGCCATACCAAATAACAATTTAAACTAAATATATAAAATATATATTTTGATAGGTTTGATAACAGGAAGCTAAAAGTACATGAATACAGTGATAGAGCAGTTTATGTTCTGCTGAATAATTGGCAAAGTTTAAGAGTGGTTGCAAAAGTTGAATGGTGATCTATTGACAATATTTTCATGAGATCGTCATATTGTGATTTATTGTGTTTCTCTGTTGAATGTAGTCTTTTGTACAAACACACATTCCCCCTAAATCTTCTCTTATTGTCAGCCTCTATCACTCTAAGTGAGTGATAGGTGGATTTAACCAATCACAGTGAAGTGTGACTCCCAGAAGCAGCTGATGGCTTTACTGTGCTGTACTTGCTTGTACAGTATTAAACTAATTCTCAAAAACCAGGCTGTCTCCTCAAGTATTTAATTGCTGTCTTTGTGCCCTAATCCTTAGTATCTTCTAAATTAGAGCTTGTTTGGTGATGGTAGCAATGAGTCCCAGTGGCCATTTGTTGTTGTTTTAACAACTGTTTAATTTACTTCTTATCAATGCACCATTTGGCTTTACCTTGTTTGTGTAGATTTTACGGCCACACAATATATCGCAATCAAAACAAAATCGCAATGATTCTTTGGGTAATTAAACGTCCATTGGAAACAAATGATCCTGTCTTTTTCATTGGAAAAAACACTGCCAACTATTTAGTTTTTAGCATAGACCGTATATATAAGTGGACATACCAAACTCGCTAGCAGCCACACACCAAATAGGAAGTGCACCAGGATGCTCTTCCGGCTCCTTCTAATCCTTGGCTCCAATTGACTTACCTTTGGATCTTGTCGCCCCTCTTTCTGTAACTGCTGCTCTGAGCCTCGTCAGTTTGGTCTTAAAATATTCATATTAACCTGCTCTACATTTTTTTTTGTTATTTTGTCCATCAAAAAATCATATTCATAATATAGAGCTGACTCCAGATTCACTCCTGTAACCGTTAGCATCAAGGGCCTGATTTGAGCGGCGCTGAACACTTTGAGTGACATCACACTCACTTAGTCCACTTCTTTTATACAGTCTATGGTTTTTAGACATTTAAAAACATATTCTGAAATGCATGGGATTCTTGTATTAGTTTATCAGCTCATATTTCAGTCTTTTCACAAATGTTACTGCAGGTTTGACAGGTGTATTCTGTATATTCTTACAGTATGCATATCTGACTTCTGATTTATATCATAACGTTATTTCTTCATCACAAACATACCTGGAGTTGTCTTTTGTTTTATTCACACATGTTTAACTTACAAAACATGCATGTTTAGTTCTTCGCTCAGACAGCAAATGTAGTAATACGGGTATGTTTTTGATATTCCAGCATGACTAAAAGATCTGAGCAGCCAATTTTGCATAATATAGGATATTTTATGGTGCACTATGTAACTTTTCTAGTGGAGGGTCCCTCACCCGCTTGACCTCTAAATTAAGAAGAAGATCTAGACAAAGCTAACAATAAAGTATAAAGTTAAAGAATCACTTTTGTTCCTGCTTTATGTCCTTGAACTTTATAAGAAAAAGCAGAAGTCCCAAAAGTATAAAGACAACAAGATAAAGGGATAAGAGGAGGTGACTTTGAGTGAATGAGGAAAGTAAGGTACAAACAAGTGATGAATGGAACTGTACAGTGCACCATGGGGAGAGAGGGAGAGAGGGAAAGAGGGAGGGAGAAAGAGTTGGTGACAGATTCTGACCATGAACAGTCTCTCTGCGGTCTCTGGTGAGACAGAGCAGCTCTGCAGAATGGATGGTGTTTATCTTTAAGTAAAGCCAGGAAACTGCTCTGTGTGTTAAATCAGCTTATGGGGTTTTAGTCTTATATTTTCTAGATTTAATATAGAGGTAGAGGAATATACTGTAATTTACATATCAATTTGATTTGGGATTTTTATACCAAATGCCCTTCCTTGTACAACACAGTTAATTAATCTTAGCATTGGCTTAACTAATGCTATTAGTTTTGTTTTACCTTGTTAGCCTGTCACATTGACTTAATGTTGAAATTTCAGATGAACAGTACTTTTGACCTGGTATTATGTACGTTTTTTGTGGCTTTTTGGATTTTTTATGAATTCAATACATTTATTTGAGATGTAGATGGCTGAATAATTGAGATTCCTATAGATACTAACTACTTAAGCATTTCACTGTGGTATTTACTGCAGCTCAAGCTTTATTCTTCGGTGTATAATAGTGGTTCATTACTTCATACTGTTGTTTCAGGTTTATTGTATATAGCTTATCACAATATCTAATTTTAAAAAGTATTACCCTGACAGACCTTTGTTGCAATAAGTTACTTTGACATACCCTTAATCTGTATCCCTGTACGTGCCCTCAGAAACATGATAATATTAAATGCCTGATGTAGCATCTTATGTTTGTGCCTCGAAGGAACAAATCTGCAAATTGAGTCTCGCAGGTTCATCAACCTTACACGAGCCATCTGCCTCCTGCTTCCTCACTACTGCTGCTGCTGCCGTTTCAGAGCACATACACTAAACACACTCACTCACCTCTGCCTGCTTAAACCCGCTGTATCTATGCACATACACTAAACACACTCACTCACCTCTCTGCCTGCTTAAATCCACTGTATCTGTCTTTCCTGCCTGGCCGCAGCCCTCTCAATTTCAACAGTGGAATGAAAGCCAAGTGCAAACTGCAAGCACACAAAACCACAAGGAGATGAGGTCAGATTTACTAAAACGGGCCAAAGAGATTAGGGTACAGTCATTGGCATAATGCTTTGTAAATGTTTACTTATTGAAGCCAGTCAAGCCTAAATCCATTTTTACATCTTTTTTTCCCCCACAAACTGGATAATTTGCATATTTTTCCCTACCCAGCTGTCTGAACTGAGTTTTAGACAAAGACAAAATTGTATTGATTCACAAGGGAAATTATTTGGACATAGTAGCTCACAGGTCACATCACAATATAATATAATAACACAGAGCAAAAATATAAATGATAATTGTTAGAGAATTCTATGATATAAATGCATTTCTTTGATTAAAGTCTCATTAAAGTGTTACTCATTTATATATGTAATTCTTTCATTAAAGTATTAATCATTTAAAGGGTGAAACATTTAAATATTAATCATGGTGTAATCAACATTGCTTTGGGTCTGTTTTGGTTCAGGATGTACGTGACATGAAAACAGCAT